AAAAAAGGAACTGGTTGGGATTTGAACCCAGGACCTCTCAGTCCAGAGTTCAGAGTCCTAACCACTGGACCACTTGATTTTCTTATTAATGTATGCTCGGACCATATACTTATCTTACAGATTGAAAGGTGTGGATCTTAAAAATGTTATGAAAAAGGAACTGGTTGGGATTTGAACCCAGGACCTCTCAGTCCAGAGATCAGAGTCCTAACCACTGGACCACTTGATTTTCTTATTAATATATGCTCGGACCATATACTTATCTTACAGATTGAAAGGTGTGGATCTTAAAAATGTTATGAAAAAGGAACTGGCTGGAATTTGAACCCAGGACCTCTCAGTCCAGAGTTCAGAGTCTTAACCACTGGACCACTTGATTTTCTTATTAATATATGCTCGGACCATATACTTATCTTACAGATTGAAAGGTGTGGAGCTTAAAAATTGTAAGGAAATAAGAACTTGTTGGGATTTGAACCCAGGACCTCTCAATCTAGTTACGAGTCCAAACCACTGGACCACTTGATGTTCTTACTCATTCATGTTTGGACCATATATATAAATATCTTACAGATCAAAAAAGATGTACTTGAATTTAGAAAATAGGAACTTGTTGGGGTTTGAATTCAGGACCTCCGAGTCTGTAGTTTGAAGTCGTAACCACTGAAGCATTTTAATTTCTTAGAAAACTCTTGTACCTATCCCTCATCTTACACATCGAAAAAGAGAGAAAAAGAGTGAACCCCAGAATTCTTTGTTCCAAGATTGGAAATTGTGTTCTATTCAGACATTTTGTTTTTAGTTAACGTCTGTACTTGGTGTCCGACATATGTTTCACACAAAATCCTGATTCTCCAAAAATAATGGCTCAGTGTACTGCGTCTTATTATCCAACATGTTTTAATAGTTGACTGCATTTTGTACAATAAAATGTAAAAGAAAACAGTAAAAGAATGTGTACATTGCCAAAATTAGAATCCAGATTCTTAAAACTGAATTATCACCAATAATGAGGTTGGAATGAGAGTTAGGTCGACCAAGTCCACTGTGGTCTCAACTCCAATTTAAAAAATCTGCAAGCACTAATCCACTGGGCAGACAGAATTAACAACAGTTCAGGAAGAATTCGGTCACAGTCTAAAGAACTGATTCAGTGTCTTCTGCCCCTTAACGAGTGCCACCTGTTTCTTCTGACTTGCCACACCCTTCTTGACTTTCTTGCTTGGCTGGCTATTGCCGGTGTCCTCCATCAGTACCCGTTTGACCCTTCTCTTGACCTCTGTCCCCTTCTTTTTTATCCCCGCCCCCTGTGCCTTTCCCCCTTCCCTAGGGTATGCTAGTAGGTTCTCCTTGTCCATCATGGCATCTGCCATTTTCGAGACACGCCCTTTAGGTCGCTTTGGGGTGCCATCAATCATGCCCTGCCTTTGGTGTGGCCTAGTTAACAATTGGCTGGGCGGGCTCCCTACTGGTGACTCAAACTCGTGCGTGAAAACTCTCGCCCGGTTGTGCTTTTCTGGTGGTGTTTCAGCCCACAGCTTGATTGGCTGGTTGTTGGCCTGGCTTGGAATGTTCCAGTCAGTGTTCAGGTTTTGCTCTTGGAGGGGGTTTCTTCGGTCTGGCTCTGCCCATGCCATGACGGACTTGTAGCCAAAGATCTTGACTTGTTTGGTCTCCTGCTTTCAAAAGAACAAATAAGTTTCACTTTGGGATCCAATTCATTATGTTAAAACTTACATCTAACACCGTTACCAATGGGAGGCTTTGAGTTGCCGGTGGCAACAGATACATGTATACCCGTCCTTTTTCACAGTATTGCACATACCCCGAAGGTAGGCATGCTCAAAAGGTAGGCATGCTCAGAAGGTAGGCTCTGCTCAGAAGGTAGGCATGCTCAGAACTGGAAAAAAGGTATGTTTGCTGCCACCAAACATTTCAAAGTCTCTCATTCTTTCTTTGGCAAGTTATGAAGAGGGCCATTTTTTTCTGACTAGGCAGGATCAATCGATGAAATTCACTGCAATTTTAATAAAGCAAAATTATCCGCCAATGAAACCTCCCGAATCCAGCAAGATATATTTTCCGGCTTTGAATACTGTTCTTACTGTTGCTACAGCTCATTAGTTGAACAGAAAGATTTGACTAATTTTGTGGCGAGTGTCGACAGAAAGAACTGGTGACCTGCAGAGCATTGTTCCCTAGGACTCGGTCATCTTCTTTACCTCTTTTGGGGCCATGAGTCTCTCTTTCAGTGCTTGGTGCTCAGGAGATTTGGGGTTCACAACCTCGGGAGATCTTCAAATGATAAAATGTAAAAATAATACAGTTGAGTGGGTCGTACATTTTATCAAATTGTTATCTGGTTGGCAAAAGTGAGACAACACAACATAAGGATTGCGGACCAAAATTTGGTGTAATTTTTTAGCCCATAATAATTGCGCTGCTTATGTTAATACTTGGTAACCCTCCTTTTGCTGGAACAGTCACAGTCAGTGAAATCCCTTCCACCGTCTTCCAACTCCACAGCACACAGACGTATCACATGTCATTTGGCTGATTTTGACTGATAGGACAACTTGGTACAGATTACATCTTTGCATAGGAGGGTCAGTGATCCATTCAGCACTTACGCTTTAGCATATCACAGTACAGTGACAACAAACTATACACATGAACATATTTGCCAGTAAAAGCTACGAAGGAAACAATAATCAGAAAGCGTGAAATACGTGTAATGTCGGGCCAACATTTCGGGATATGTTCATTTGGTTCTAACAGAAACTGCTTGACAATGACCCTGTAACCACCTTGAATCCGATACAGGTGATGAAGACATGATTTGAAAAAAAAAAAGCAAAATCGGGTTCCATAAGTCAATTAGTTTTGGAGCAGGAATCGTCTGATAAATGCACGTATCGGAAACGTTTCCTCAAACTATGTGGGTAACAGCAGTTCAATTTAGTTGGTTCACCTGAACCGTGCCAGAAAAGACGGCACTTGGACGGGGGTTGTCTGTGTCAAGGTGCATTCGCTCAGCACGTCTACTGCATTATGGTGGGCGGGGCTTGTAGCCTCCTGATCAAGGAATGCCAGGATGACTTTGAGTGTCTTACGGCCCAAGACACTTCCTCCTTGATTAACAGCCTGCAGGTCGAGTGAAAAGTATGAAACTGCAACCTAAGTTTAAAAGTTCTCAAAATTCCCACTCGCACAGTATAGCTCATGTCTGACAAACGGAAAATTACATCCTCAAATTTTTTGTGCAAGATCATCATAAACAAAGAGTACCCTTGGGGTTGATGCTTGGCTTTGGGGTTTCCTGCCATAGAGGGCAGCATTTGCAACTAATTTTCAGCAGACTCCACTCATGTGGAGGGCATCTTCTTGCAAGCGATCACAGAAATGCGCGTGTACGTACGACAGAAATTGCCTCACACTATGCTCAGTTTCCACATCCAGTGTCCATCATGATAGCATAATATAGACCTTTCTCATGTGATGTCACACTTGTGATGGACTGCGATGTGTTGTGATGGTAATGAGTGGATAGTGTGGTGATGGTAATCTACTTATTTGAGATATAAAACTAGTCAAACATACAGTGTTTGTACGTCCCTCTGTACGTGATTGAAGCTGCCTGTAGGAATATATGTGTTCACCTCGGCCACGGCGGTCCACATGTGGTGGTATTGTTTACATTTGGCGCATTCCAGTCACGTGGGTAAAAAAGATCCATATTCAATTCACCGCTGCCTGCAAACTCCAAGTGGTTCTTAAATATTACCTTGGGAGGGCTACTTGTACTTCTTCGATCAAAAACCGTCAGCAGAGTGTCAAATTTGGTCAGTAATTTCTGGCAGACCTTTTCCACAGCTGCTTGCTTGAAGACGGTGTCCCGACACTTGCAAAGGATGTTTTTGATCAAAAGTAGTACCTTTGTAATGCACTGCCTACTCATACATAAAAGAACGAGAAATGAAATGTGTCAAGTTAAAAAACGATGGTTTAAGAACATGTATATTAACTAAGGCTCAAGATATTCAAAAGTAAGACTTTTCCCATAGATTTTTCTTATCAGACAAGAAAATTTACCTTAAAAAAAAATTATCCATGCTTTATTTTTGTATTGTGGGGATGTGGATTTTAATATCTGGTGTTTTGCATTTCAACAAATTTATATTTATAAACACTGTACATTCGGTGTTGTCTTAAGGCTTGCAAAACAATTCACAGCTTACTTGGATGGGACTCAAACCCATGACCTTCTGCTCACTAGTCAATCCAAACTTGATTGGTACCCTAACTACAAATCTTCCTAAATTGACACAAATTAACAAATCTGGAAAGAAACCAGAGGGTCAACTCTGTGCACTTTAACTTTCAAAGGTGTTTAAAAATTACAAACCTTGTGTTTGGGACTTCCTCTACCAACACCTGTAGTTTCTGGACATTGGTTACAAATTCACCGAGACTCTTAACGTGATCAGCCAGAGATGACATGTCAGAACCTGGTGCATAGCTGCGACCACCAAGCCTCAACCGAGTAATGTACGACACAGCTGTCTGCAAATACAAAATAAAAGTTTAGGAAAAAATGCCACTCTGTCAAATTCCACCTGCTGGAGAACTGGGACCATGTTTGAAATGGGTTCCTAAGAATTTGGAAACTGGCTAGACTAAGTTGTAGACTCAACATTTGGCCGTGGCCTGATTTCCAAACTTCCCTCAAGATACGAAGATGTGATTAGAGGTACTGGACTGTTAGGCTTCTGAATAATCTGTGAGGGGGGGGGGTTCACCTGATACATGGACATGTTTTTCATCTTGGCAGCATTCTTCAAGGCTGTGAATCCTTTGTGGTCGAGACCTGACGGTGAGTAGCTGAGACATCTGGCCAGGGCAATCTCATCCCGAGAATTGACAAGGAGGCCAAGGAATGACAGGAAGACATGCTGCACCAGAACCTAGTATGAAACAAGAGATGCAAACAAGACAAAAACCCTGAAAAAACAGAACCTGTTCTGAAACGCAGCAGTTTTCCAAAGTTCTTTGGGGAAACTTTTCAGTACTGGAACAATTCTTTTCCTGGAGAAGCAATTAGTGAACCTTAAAGTTAGCAAACTTTATATGCTATCAATTCCTCGACAGCATTTTTGACTGAATGGCATCTTGATCTAAGTTGTCCAGTCTTAAATTAACTCCAATATGGTTTTGATACATACCGAGTATTTAATACGTGAGGTCTGAGGAATTTCAAATTAAATGCATCCTCGAGGCTGAATAATAATTTGTTAGACCAACTTCTGACCTTGCAGGGGGACTTACTTCGGTGGATGAAACAGGTGATTTTGGAGGCTTTGGGGTTGACGCTGGGCAACACTTGTCTTTGCTCAAGTTTTGTACCATCTCCCAATCTCTGTCACAAACCTCTGGCCTGGACTCCCCATCGCCGATGGCCCCTAACGATGCCCAAAGCATATCCACTGAAATTTCAGTCGGGGATGCCCCACCACACAACAACTTCAAGATTTTTCTCTGCAACAATAAGGCAACAATCAAAGCACTTCTAAAAACAAATGATCAAAATCAACAGTCTCTGTCCAAAATGTAAGCCATGTTGAACTCAATGAGCCAGTTCAGTATTTCAAGAAGGCAAGGTCATTTGGAAACAAAGCACGCACGTGAATCAGCGTAAGTTCGCACTGATGAGCATGCGAATGTCCCCAGACATACTTTATTTTGGGCATGCGCTGTTGGAATACGGGACTGGGTCATTCCTTTGGCAAGCACACCAATAGGGAGAGAAAAACAAAAAGGTAGGTGGAGTCGCTTAAGACCTCCTGCGGAGTTTAGAATTAGGAATGACCACGACATACGTGAAAAGTAGAGTATGGAAAACTGTTACTGAGAAAGCTACTCGCCTCGTTTTAACTGTTGGAGTAAATGCTACATGTACATTATCTGGTAATTAAGGAAAAGCTTGAGCATGTTGAGAGAGTTACCTCCATGAGTTGGGATGGCCACTGTAGCACGATTAACCTGGTCGTGGCCCTGAACAACTTGGCTACACTTCTGTTCTCGTGCAACAACGTCTGGACTTGCTGATAGATATCTGGTATGTCCAGCATGCCGCAGCTTGACAAGAAAGCTTTGTAACGGCGTCCCACGGCCCGAGACGGTGACAAACTTGCTGAGATTTCTGCTGGCGAGTTTTGGCATCGACCTGCTGGTGAATCCCCATCACATTGGGTAAGTTTGTGCTCGTTGAGCTCACTGGTTGCTCGAGATACCTGACTGACATCAGCTTCGTAAACACCATATTTCTGGCAAGAAATCAAACAGCCATAAGCAAAAACTGCAAAAAGAAAAAGATATCATTTGGAACTCACGTACCTCAAGTTCCACAGATTTTAAAACAGTCAAAAGGATTTAAAAGTTGCCACAGATGTGTGACTGACTCACACATGTACAAAAGGTGTCCAGGACTGAATCTCAATCACGGACGCCATTTTAAATGTCATTTTCCAGATTTTTTTTATAGTCAGCTCAACTCAGAATGGACTGAGACTGGAGAAAAAGTGCTTCCAACAGGGAATAATTTGTACTCCTTCCAGAGCTGCACGTACGAGTGTGCCTTAGGGACACGGTGCATCTCCAGTATGCTCACAGCCAGAGTGGAACATTCCCGAGGTACATGTAGATAGCGTACATACATTTCACTTAACATTCCCAGAGTTCAATCATTTCCAGGGTGTCTTTTCCGAGAATTCAATTTCCTGAAGTGTTAGCTGCTAAGCATGGAAAACTTTGCTTGGAAAATTCAGGTTACTAGCTAAAATGATACACATCATGTACTGCTCGCTACCTGCTTCCAGGCAACTTATGCTTGGCATGTAAATTCGCTGAGCAATATTTCCTCTGCTTAGGCTGTGTCAGAATTACTTGGCTGCGGCTTAAGATTAGACAGGAGTCTGCTGTACTACATGTAGTGGCCGCAGCCAGTCCTCATAGAGTTGTGTGTGATATCAAGCCACAGCGGAGTGATTAGGATGAAACCCTTGAAACTCAAAGGAAGTTAAGCTCAGATGGGAACACTATCTGTCATTGGGCTGTTTCCAATGAGAACAGTAAGTGTCAAGCCGCATCCGTTGTGGAATATTTCATGCACCTCCATGTTCAACGAAATGGTCGGTACCGATGGTGCATCTTTAACAAACCTCTTTGCTGTGTTCTGCGAGGCACAGCTGCATGACGACCAGTTGTGACTCTGCTGAGAGAATCGTTTTGCAGCCTGGGACCCTCGGCTTGAGACGCTGAAATACTTCCAAAAGCAGCTGCGATGGAGTTTTGACTGGGATGGCAGCATCACACAGCTCAGACTCTCCCACAAGGAAGATGATATCTTCATCTGATGAGAGCACAAGGAAAGAATCAATTCATTCAAGGAAATTTTCACAAACTGCAGCTTATTTAGAATATGCCTCATACAAGGGCAAGTCCATACTTTCACACATGCTATGTCCCACACCCTTGATGGCATTTATGGATTTCGGTGTTTTTCATCCTACTGTTGGGAATCTAGATAGAGAAAACTCCGAAGAATTTTCCGTTACTAGTCTTCATGATAATTCTTTACATAAAACATGGCATTGCATATGGGATGCAATTAGCTAAATTTTCTTGGACTTCCCCACAAGCGTCACTATTTCTGGTTTGTAAAATTATTAATGAAAAAACTGGTACTATTGCCTTCATGATACAGGGTGTTGAACCTTTGTGAACAATTTTAGTGTCATGAAATTTCGTATGAAATCCAAAACTGTTGGCATCCAGAAATTGGGCTTGAATTCAGCGGAGTGTTCCCACTATACTCAGAAAATCCCATATGAACAGTTACAAAATCCTTTAAAATTGATAAATTCTTGTAAAGCATCATTACTTCCATTCAAATACCCATCCGCAAGTTTACCAGAAATTTCTTTTCAAACATATCTGGGCAAATTTTAAATGAGTTCATTTTGCACGCCATAAAAAACTCAGAAAATTGGGCCAAAAAAATCAAGTTTCATCTAAACTTTGTAACAGGTATGTAGAACTGAGATTTATGAATCAGAATGTCAGGAGTTTGATAAAGTCTCAATACTTGTGAAATTGGAGCTGAAACTCTTGCTTTGTTAAGACACAAAAAGCGAAATGAAAGTGTGCCATGTTAGAGGCCACACCACGTTAGGGTATCCCCAGAACTGTGGGGTCCAATGTCCACCCCGCTCCCCATCGGACCCCAAAGTTCTGTGGGTAATGTTAGGGTACATCCACATGCATGTACAAAGTAAATTTTATTTTTAATTCATACCAAAGGGCAAAGGAAGATCTTCCACGAGACGACAATGAAGTTTCTTTTCCACAGCATCAAGGATTTGGGGTAACTGTCTCTTGTCATATCCAGTTAAATGGAAAACTGGTAACACACAAACTTCTGAAGACTTATCGGCCATCTGATATTCAAAGACATGAACCACATAAAATGTACAGATGTAAGGTAGATACTACTTCCAAGAATTAATAATTATTTATTCGGCCAAATGCAACCAAACAAACACAACTGTACAGACACCTAAATCACGAGCAATTTTATCTCTGGATGTGAGGGGCTTATTGGCAAAAACTGTGACAAAAGTCGAGAAACTATATCATGTATGAAACAGTGTCATGTCTTAGCTCTATTGAGTGCAGTGTTAGAAGCATTTTCCTCTTTTTTGAATTTTGGACCGAGTATGACCGATCCAGTCCAAACTTCGAAAAAGAGAAATACTAACACTCCATTCAGTGCAGCTAGTCAAGTCTGTACTGTAGCTTAGCCGCTTTCAAGTCAACTCGTACACGTACCTTTGGCAACTCATACCGTGAATTAAGACATCTCATACCTTCAGATTTGCAATTCACTTAACTTATTTACTTTTCATGCTTTTTCTTGTTCACATGTTTAAGGGTCAGATTTGACAAACATATCAAGGAAACGCCTTTATAAGTCTCCTAGAGAGATACAGAGCGCCACCATGAGTTTTTTGCATATCATTCTTCCATAGGCATGTGCGCACCATCGGTTAAAGGGGTGTGGGTCACTTCGCCCCATTTCCACTTGGCCCTATGCCACTTCCTCCCTAACCACTTCGATCCAACTTCTTGTGGAATAATTCTTTTGGGGGGGAAACAGTCTGTACTTGATAAATGTTTACTAGTTTAATGGGTGAGCTTTCTTCAATTGAAGCATAAGTCATTCTCTTCTGTGAACAAATTTATAACGTCAATTTAAAAATCTTGATTTCTTTATTTTTGGGGGGGGTTTGTTTGCCTGAGTTTTTTTGGGGGGGGAATTTAATGGTTGAACTTCTAATAAAAGAAGTTTTCTTTCATTTTGGGGGTTGTAATTGCCTGATATTTTGGAGGGGGCTGGTATTTAATGGTTCATTTTCTATTTTATTATCCCACTCCTCTCCCACAAACGTGGGAGGAGTGGACATCTGACCCCACACAGGGAAAGGAGCGGACCCTACAGGAAGAGGAGTGGACGTCGGACCCCACAGTTCTGGGGGTAACTTACGCAGGCAAGTAGTTCTGCTGTATTTTAAGGGGTGGAACGCAGCAAAAGGGCACAATATTTTTTTCACTTTATAAGCGTGTTGGTTGTGGTCCACATATGTACTTCCTGAATAGTAAGGGAAGGCACTACCGACAGTTCCATGCAGTCTCAAGCAACAAAATTCTCGAAAACAAAGAGAAAGCAATTCGATCGGTTGAGTCATGTTGAGTAGTGCATCGGTTCTTGCTATTCACATATGTACATACGAAACGAAAGCAGTCTACATGTAGAAACAAAATCTGTGCTTTGCCTACCTTCCTATTCGGTATTCCGAGCAGTTTGGCGGAATTGGGAACAAACCACCGCTGGTCTTTGAGTAACCACGGATGGAGTACGTAACGACGCTCGACGGACCAGACGTGAGTCAAAAATCTATATGCACCCCCAGTCGTGGTACGTGCGTTTACGTTTTAAAGTCCCCTCGGTTATAAAGGTCAATCAATTGACCGACCAATGGGATTTGAAAGGATGCTAGTTGTGGTGTAGTCCAAGTTGAACTCATGGGGGTATTTACTTATTGAAACCTTCTTCAAGTGTAGTTTAAAGTGAATTAATTTCATCCATATCCTTTATTTTAATATGTTAAGTTACTTTAAAAAAACGAAATATATCATTATAAGTTATTTTATTTATGCTTTTGAAAAGAAAATTGAGAATTAAATTCTGTCTTTACCTTTGACTACTAATGGACGTGACCACCTTCGTGAAACATACAAATAGACTGGTTCTACTGTCTCTACATAGGTCGTGTCAGATTCAGCAGGCTGCGGGTCGATCCATACGTAGCTCGGGGAAATAGCGACAGCTGTTGGTCAGTGGCTTTCATGCCGGGTGCATTATTTGATTGTTCATGTCGCAGTTTTAACATTTGCACGCGATCTTGTTCCGGCAAATGAATTTTCAGAAAAATAAAGCAGGCCATCGTACTGAAGCATCCAGACTTTACTTTTATAATTCCTGGTTCACTGGGAAGCGAGTGCTGGGTGCCGCAACAGCAGCAACGGACAACAAACTACAACAAAACAAACAAAAGCCGGAGTCAGAGACTGTCTTGCCTGTTTCTGTTTTTTTATAATGTTGATAGAAAAAGAACAAGAAATCGGTTCTGGTTCTGGTGGAATACTGCATAATCTCTTCATCAGGGATGTAATATGCAGGCGCGAGGTGACGGAGCAGATATTTATTTAAAGTGAGCCCCCCCCCCTGATAACTCCTACATTAAGGGAGTGAAGTTTCGACTTGAAAATTGCAATGCTTGGTGCATGACGTATTTCTGGCCTTCGGTTACACATGTAATTCACAAAGCAAATTAATAGCGCCAGGATGGTGCGCTGGGTTGAATCAGCTAGGAATCTCCTCCACCCGGCCAGACATTTTCAGTTTTGGATGTAGTACGGTCTGTTCATGCGGGCGACGGTGGATATTTGATGCATAAGTCACGGTAAAATATCATTAGGCAAACACATCACTGGAGGAATTGAGGTTCATTTTCAAAAGTCCAAGAGAAGCTAACACTCACAAGTTGGTGTCGTGACAAAAATTGTCTGACGCCCAATGCTACACTGCATGTTAAAATCAACACTTCTAATTTTATCAGAAGACTACACCAGAGAGTTTCTTTAATACCGCTGGTGTTAATTTGCACATCGATAAGTTTTACAGTGCACTGGAGGGTGTTAAAACACCAAACAACACCAGTAAAAGGTGTTAGTGTAGTCCTCTGATAGCACCGGGGTGTTACTTTAACATCCCAGTTTTTGCATTGTATCCGCCCATTGGAATAATTTCAAATGGCGGTATACGCTTTGCGGCTTGATGGAAAAGAGCTCAGCTTCACCGCGGTAAATCACCTTGCTTCGTCTTCGAGGTGGCTAATGGCGACTTGATCGCTGCTACCAACGGCCAAGTAGTACGGCTCGATCACTACGGACAGCTTGCGGAGGAGCGAGCCACGGCGCTGGGTTTGTGCTTCGTCAGTACTTTTCTATTGGTATCATCACCTAAGATGGTCCCGTCCTTTTTGACTTCTACACTGCGTGGGCGATCATCTGTTTCGCTACGTTCATCAGCTGGCAATGCAATGAACGAGAAATCCAAAGTGCCGTCCTTGTTGAATATCTTAATTCACTTCTTCACTGTAGTCTACGATCACAATTTTTTTGGCCGAGCGCAGCCACGTCGACAGCACCTGTCAACAGAAAATGACAATCTCAACCCCTGAACACGTTTTTGGCAATGGTTAAAGAATGAATCAGTTCTCACGACAATCTCGGTTACAGACCTGTTTTTTCTTAGTTGAGTGTAGATTACTTTTCGGCAGATAACTTTTTTTTAAGTATCTCCTGTTTTTACAAGGAAAATTGCAAGAGGATCCTTAGAATCATAAAGAACTTTCAAAGATTCGCCTTCGTTCATAGACAAGGCTTGTCTGGCTATGTGTGTGATCGGAACCCATGAGCACAATAAAATGGTGTTTCCTTGCATGTTACTATTTAAAAACATTCAAAACGAAATGTATGGAAGAAACCAGCTGTAATTGGTACAACATTGGAACCAGTTACCAATGCATTAAAAGACTTTTTTTTGCAAGACGGGCTAACTCATTAAGGGTAATTTGGTTGGGACAGCAGGTCATCTTGAAATTCTGTTGGGCTTCCCCTGTATTTTACATAAAAAGCTATTTGTGAAGAAATATCTGGAAATGTCTGCTCATAGTCTGATTTTTTTTATTGCCTTGGGGAAATGAGGTGATGTATGCCAGTTTTGCGATCTGTTAACACGGTAAATCAATCGATTCAATATACTGACGATTTCATGCTTAAAAACTACTTCAGAGTGGATGTTTAGCGCTTGACTATGGAGTTTTGAGAATGTGTTATTTTTTTTATTGTGTCGAAACAGAAGGGACGACCCCACTAAATTTTACATAGTGGAAAGGGCAAAACAGCGCGTAATGAAAATGTTTCTTTTGACCAACTGGCAAAAGGAAAAAGAAAACTACTTTTGTTTGGATCCCCTGAAGCAACTACCTGAAGAGTGAGCGAGTTATATATTTTTAGCAATCACCGGGTGTGTAAATTTTTGAACACCGAAACCCTACAAATCGACACTAAATCTGGCAGACAATCTCTAGTATTACACGGACGAAATTTTGAAGAACACCAGTTCAGCAAGGAGATAAACCGGGTTAATAAACGACAAAATCGTACCGTGCAATCAACGGCGTTCTGGCAGAACCAGAACCAATGATGGTGCCAGACAGCGTCGCTGAGTGTAGAGTAGCAAAAGACTTTTTATACAACAGCGTCACTGTGATTTGCCTTTTCACGACCATTCATTATTATTACCCAATTCTGCTCATGTTCTCATGTCGCTGAACCGTGAACCTCCCACATTCAGCGCATTTCAACGATCTCTTGGGGGGAGCTTAACGACTATTTGTAAAGGATCATGCGATGCTACCCGAAAAACTTTCTGTAAACATCGGCTTCTACCGCAAACCTTTCTGTAAAGATGAGCACCTTGCTTTGTCGAACAGCGGCAGTTTGTCTAGCAGTTTGTCTCATTCCTTGAAGAATGTTGTCTTTTAACGACAGGCCTTTCTGTGTCATAATCTTGGCAGTGATCTTGATACATGAGGGCATGTATGACAGATAAATTACGTTGCCTGCAAAATAATGAGAACTCTTGAAAACTGAAGTACAATTTATTAGGTGTAGTTATTGATGGTTTCTATTTTCTGGTCGTTTCTTTGAGTGATCTAATCCACCACGTTAAAAAAAGGAAACACCTCTTACGATTCGCTAAATAGTTCACCCGAGCTAAATTTAGCTTCATTCAAAACAGCTCCCGTCTAACTTTGCCGGTTGACAGTAAAGTTGCTTGACTACTCCCGCGCATTTTTTTTTAAAACAACAACCGCCCTTCCGGCACACAGCCTGAGTCTCGCTGGCAGCTGAAGCGCTTTCGAGTTTCAACCTCAAATTCGAGTGCGCCGTGATTTTGAAACTGCCAGCCAGTTGATCGGAGAACAATAGCAACGGCGACGGTCGTTGCAAATGTGTACGAATAACAAACAGCCTTTCAATTCAACAAGGTTTCAGTTGCGCAGTCGCCGGTAACCGTGGCTGTATTATGGACGAATACGTCGGTAATTTGTAGGGAACTAGAATAGAACTAGGCATCTCTTGTGTAAGCCTGAAAAACAAACCCAAAACTTCGCGTTACAGTTTGTACTTCGAAAAATTTGCGTCACATTAACAGAGAACGCTAAAATCGGGGTATTGGTTTTCATGTAGGCCTTGTTAATTTACCTGTGAATAGATAACTGAAGTGTTTTATTTGTCAGGATTATGTAACGACCATGTGCAAGACATTTTGCCCGAAATAAAATGTGAAGGCCAAACCCTTCAAGAAGAATACACTGCCAAGTTTAGAATGTCTGCTCGGCTCTGTCCGTATCGTTCTTAATGGGGATGACTTCGTTGTAAGCTGGATTTATTAGCAACAGCATCAGGGCTGTTCAAAATGTTGCATAATTGCTTGTGCAACACTACACGCAGCTCGAGCGATTGCTTCGTTTGCACGCAACCTTTCGGGCGAAAATTTATACCCTTTCAGCTTATTGGAGATCCAAGATTCGATCTTATTGGAGAAGAGCACTCTCGTGAAAAAATTGAGTAACCTTTGCCAAGAAATGGAATTAGCAGCAAACATCAATAAAGACAAGGGTTTAAGGAACTGTCCCAGGATAAATGGGTACAAGCATTCCTCGTTTGGGGGTTTTGTTGTTGTTGATATTGTTGCTTTTGTCGTCGTTGTTGTTGTCTTCATTTCGATGTGCAATTTCTAAAAATCTGCAATCGATAAACAGCAACGCTCGGGATAAGAAAGACCCGAGTGAATTCACCACCTGTCTTGCAGCAGAATTTCACGAGAAGCAAAAGATGAATAATTCCACCATGCACCCCCCCGAAATCCCACAGGGACGGAACAACAGGGAATACTGCATATTAAAAAACTAGACAGTACCCCCCCCAATATGAAACTACGTCCTCTATATATTATAGGTTTCTGCTCTCTCTTCCCAAGGAATATCAGGCGATCTGTCTCGCGATGAGAGGTGCCTCTACGCTGGGTTGTACAATTCAAACAACCGTTCTTTATCATATTTCCACATCGCCTGCCCTCTTTATCTGACACGGCAGACATATGCAGACAGATGATCCCCACGACGTGGTTCTGCTCATCAACAATTGCTAATTTATCAGAGCTCTTTTTCCAACCCGAGGTAGTTTTGCGCAAGCCTCACTCTGAAAAGTAACATCAAGATTATGATTCTCCATCTAATTCGGCCCAGAAAAGGGACCTTTCTATTTTTGGATGGAAGATTGAAGAGAGGCGATAACAATGCCAACGAGGCCCCGGTATCAGCCATTGTCAACTAAAACCTTACACTGGTTTAGTATTCTTTCTCATTTTCCAGGTACGTAGACTTACAAAAACCCCCCGCTGTTCTGTTCCAAATCGGGAAACATCGTATCACAGCCAAACCACACCGTCGCATCATTGTACTCAAAAAAGAATATATGCAGAGAACGCCCACCCATTTCAGAGATTCGCACTTTACTCGTTTTTCAACTCGTGACAACCAGTTCTCTATACATCTTGATGGCAGGTGCGTTCCACGTGTGCTTTATACGACAGAGGAGGAAATATATAGTCTAGAAACACAATTATGACGAAAACGTAAAGATCAGTTTTAAAAGTTTCCGCAATAGCAAGATCGGAAGAAGATATAAAAGCCTGTGAATTTGACGTAGCGGCTATGTAGTATCGGAAAGTGAGCGCAAACGTTCGATTTGCAGAATTCGCTTGATTTATTTTCAAGAAATACATCCCTGAAACAACAAAGATGGTAAGAATCATTTCATTGTTTCAATTTAATGGTATACTTTGTGAAGTTTATAAAAATTAGATTTTGAAGTTTGCTGTTGTGTTAAAAGCTGCTAGTAGAATAGATTGTGGGCTGGGCAGGGCGACCGACTCGGATGCGGAATATAGGCACTAATCGTGGCGTTAATGCAACTCTGTAAACGTTGGTGAGTTGTTAAAACCAAAAATTGGTTCTAGCAACCAAAAACTTCATTGTTACTTCACTCCAATCAACTGGTTGATTAGCCCTGTAATCATTTATCCTCTACTAATCTGGAGCGAATCTGTTTCCTACCGCAAACTGCTTTGCTTTTTGTACTTTCTTGGACTAAATGATCGCTACTCGCGAAGTTGTCGGCTGATCCCTTAAAAGATAAAAAGAATGTAACAAGGTCGCTGTTTAATGCAGTTTTGAATAGAAATTGAATTTTACAAAATGAGTTACTTTCTTGTTGGTTTTTTCTTGTATGTAGACCTGGATTCAATTGGAAAAGAACAAAGATCATTCAAGATTGTTACTTTTTTAAAACCACAAAATACTCCGAATGATAACAATAATGTAGACCATAGGTTACGTCAATTAAAAATTATCAAATTTTTTTTACGGTTTTTATATAAAGCACGCTTTAATCTTTTGTCTAGTATGCTTTTTATGCCATGTGCGTGGATCAGTTTCGTATTGTTGAAGAACAGACGTAGGTTTCCCGCAATTAGTTACGTCTTTTATTATGAATGGGACTGTGTCAATGTTTATTCTGTTTGCGGGAGCCGATACCAGTGCGGTAGAGGTACGTTTACTTCCTATTTCGATTTGCTAATGATGTAGCTTCCTGTCAGAGCCGCTGGTGGGCGAACTGTCATTGGAAACGTACGAGCAATATAAATGCAGAGGAAATGTTTTAGACTGGTCCCAGACCAGCAATCCTCGCAGGTCCTACATGAATTAGCACAGTAGGACCCGTGGTTCACACGGATCTGAATCTCGATCAGTGATCCTAACGCTGGTTCGCACCATCCACTACGCGGGTTTTGGTGTGCGTAAACCAACGGATCGCTGATCGTGATCCAAATCCGTGTGAAGCAAACATTTGAATAGTTTCACCGGAATATCGATGACGTCAGGCGCACGGGGCTATAAATATTCTATGACGTGCCAGCATCAAAATGGTGCATGCGCACACTGGCTCTCTTGAATCACACGAAACTAGACCGGTCTTCAGTATCAGTATGGCGATGAGGGGTGGGGGTATAGTCTCCCCTTCCTCTTCGTAAAAAAACGTGACCAGTTTTATTTTCAAACTGGCCCAGACTGCAGGAAAAAGCACCTGTATATTTCCCCATTCCCAGGGATTAGCGAGCATGTATCCGAGGAAAAAAAAGCCTCTTTCCTTTTGTGTCTTTTCCTGAAAGCTAGCTCCACCCTGGGTGAATGTATGCGTCGCTGTGAATTTCCGAGTTGACAAAAAAGTTGTGTGATTTTGGAAACTCCGTCCCCTATTTTTGCATTGGATATTCGAAAACTTAGTTGTTGTTGGTTTTTATTGCAGGTGAAGTTGACCAGCACTAAGCTCTTCTGCCTTCTTGGTGTTCTCCTCTTGGTTTCTACACTCACTCCAACACTCGGAAGCAAAAATCGCCGGGGCAGTCGGTCCAGACCTGGTAAGAGACGAACGGAGACGGAGACTCTGACAACCAACGACGACCAGTCGCCAAGAGTCGAGCATTCCCACCGGGCTAGGCCCAAAAAGCGGCAGTCGCAGAACGACCGCCGGGTGGCCGTTTCGTGGAGCCCACCGCTCCCAGTGGGTCCTGCTTCGCCGCGCGAGTGCGTCTGTCCATGGAGTTACTACACCCAGACAGACCCGAACCGCATACCTCGCCAACTACCTTTCGCTCGCTGCACAAACGCTACCGGTGAATGTCGGGACAATCCCTACGCCAGCTGCCACCTTCACAACTACACGATAGCCGTGTTGCGGCGTTCCCCGACGGCTAGCCAGTGCGACGACATGTTGGACGATTACGAGGTCAGTTTGGAGTCCGTGCCCGTGGCTTGCGTGTGCGTGTTACCATCGACATAGACGTCCGGAAACCTTCAACAAACTGGACGATGACAGCAGCTGGATTATATACTGTCCCTCAGAGGGACGAGTGGAAAGCAGGACATATCTTTCACTCAGGGAAGATTTTCATGAGAAAATTATAAACTAGACTCCAACCATCTTAATGTTTGAAACCCCGTGCAACTTAAGCAAAGAAGGCCAATCTACATTCACCGCAAGAGATTTTTACGAATATGAGATTAAAATGACTTTTTAAAGAGTGATATTTTAGAATAAATTTTATTTTTTTCTAAAAATGTTTGTTTTTGTCATAAACGTATACTTATAAACGTATATCTGTTTCTTTTCCGTGATCTTTTCTCCGGTCCTTAAATTAAATTATAAGTACTTTGGGTCTAATGCTGTTAATTATAGAAAAAATCAGATGGTAGTTAGGTTAATGATTAAGCTCCAAACATCAAAAATACACAGCTTGCTATACACAGCTTTTACGTTTAAGTAGCCAATAATCTTGACAAATGTTACTCGGTTTGATTTATGCAATATTTCAAGTTTGAGCTTCAGAACCCGCTGATAGACTGTGAACAATGTGCAAAAACTATACTTTACGCTACGATTAAGCTTGAGGAGCAGGGAGAGTCGACTATTGACATTTATTTTTGTATTTGCGAATCGTATTCTTAATTTTATATTCATGAAGTAATTTTTTATTTATTTATATATTAGTAATTTATTTGTATATCATCAAAGAAAATGCAACTCGAGAAAGAACAATACATACACAATAAAAAAACAAATTGGAATGCATCGATCGAGTCGTGCCATGCCGGTATACAACTTTTATTAAATCTTTTAAAAGAATTCGTGCATGCACGTAAATCTGTCTAAAGTTATATTTTTACCAAGTACAATTCAGTTTTTAAACTTTATTGTCTCTCTGTTGAAATGCACAGAAAGTGTTGTGGTGATTTTGGGTAATATTGCCTCAGCGAGGCAGGCATCAAACTATATTTAATTTGGGGCATCAAAAACATTACTTATTTTCTCTTTTGATGACGCACACGAATACACTTTCATCAAAGAAACAGCCTCGTTCAGTGTCAAAGCATACATCAGGTATTTCCAAACCGGAAGCTGCCAACTGTGACACCAAGCGGATGATATGTGACAACCCAGGAGATAAATATCCAGGAACTTGGGGGGGTGTAATCCCGCTTCGTCTTTGTGTGGATCCTCTCGGACCGCGAAGCTTTTAGCTCCAAAGTCATATTTCGCTATCGAAAAGAATGGAGTGTATTCAATCGGTGGAAGTAGTCTTCGTTTAGTTTTGGTCAGATTGTAAGCCTTCAGTTCAGATATACCCAAGATTTGGACCGCCCCCACAGGTTTCCTTGTTTCTTAAAGCCCTGTGCATTGGAAATACCCGATCCAAAGTTCAAAAATTATCACACCTTTTTTACAGCAATTGTCCATTCATTAACTGCATGCAGGATCAAGCAGAGGGAATGTATTAGTAACTCAACGTTTTAAAAAAAAACATTTTCCACGAGTGAGAGAAGGAAAAGTACACACTGCCAAAATCAAAGTGGCACATCTGTCCCTCGAACGGTTGGTGTAATTGATTGGAATTCTCATACTTCCCCCCCCCCGCACCCAGGCACAGTCCATCACTTGACCTAAATCACCACTCGACCCATCTTTGCTCAGTGTGTGTCCACTGCTGTAGGACGCTGGTTGTTTCAGTGTTGTTTTTAGAACTGAATTAGCTTACTGTTTCAACTTGACGTCAGGAAAAAAATGTTTGTCTTGGCAGATCTTTTTCCGTACCACACTTTCGCTTTCTGCTTTATTTATTGGGTAAAAGAAATACCCAAAGTCGAATACTCATTCACATTTGTGATCTCTTTTTTTCAATGAAGTGAATATATACATTTACAGGAGTGGATCCCGAGCCCGGGGGTGGGGATCACCCCCTCCTTGCTCAATACCCTTTTTAAGGGGCTTACGTTGGAAGACCCCTTCAAAAGCCCAAACTATCCACGTCGGGTCTTATTATGCGTGCATTTTAAGGACAAAATAAAGAAATTGGATGGCTTCACCAGCGGCGACGATTGCATGAAGTAATCCGCCCCCTTTCTTGTATGCAAACAAACATCCCCCCCCGCAAAAAACCTGGATCCGCCCCGAATTACCTGCAGTGATTGCTCACGTGCAATCAATTTCCACTCTTAAACTGGACGGTGGCAACTTTTATTGGATAGATTTTGTTCATCAAACGACCAGTAGCGTAGCTAGGATTTTAGGGGGGGGGTCACAAAGGGGCATCAGCGTCTTATGGGAGGCACGTGACACCCCCCCGGAGCTACGCCCCTGCAAACGACCCAGAATCAACTCACTTCCGGGTAGAAAAAGCTAGAAATTGGCACGGAATCTAAGTATACAGTGATTGGAAAATCTACTTCTATGCTATGTAAACGTTAAACGGTCTGTGGTTTCCTCACATTTTTTTCCCAAAGAGATTAAAGCGAAGAGTCCTTAACATTATAGATGAACCACTTTAAACGCTATTTATCAACACTGTATTTGTTTCCTATTTATGAGATAATCAATGTCCATGGATGTCAAATTAACAGATCAAAAGCAATTTCTACTAAAGAGAAATTTTTCAGAAAATGTTCAACATTTGTTTGTTGACTTTAAGTGCAAATTTTTTGTCATGATCAAACAAGTGATATCGGTTGCAACACCGTATTTATGTCCTTGCTGACTATTTGATGATAAGGCGGCGTTCATAGAGGCTTTCGTAATACGGCATAGCGTCTTCCATCAATAGCTGTATATCAGGGCTGACAACGGGGGTCTCCCTTGCCGCGCCCGATGTTTCCTTGTTGGCGTAGAAGCAGGTGCTCCCAAAGCTAGTGTTGTGGCTCCCGACCGTTTTGCTTAATTCCCAAGTGAAATCTGATATCAGCCAGTTGGAAGGGGGATCTTCCTTGACCTGTCCCCAGCGAAGGAGATCCTGACTGAACGGCAACCCGGTAGCCTCGCAGAGCAGTTGTAAGGTTTTCGCGGGGTTGGCCTGAAGGTCATCGGCGTGTATCACAGGCGCTTGCTGTCCGAGCGTTGTGGTGACAAAGTCATACACAGCAGCTGAGGCTCGGAAATAATTGGGCTTTAGAAAGGCATTTTGTCGTACGTCAGGTGGGAAATAAGAAAATGATTTCATAATCGACGCAAATACTTTTGAGGGATGACGAATTAGAAAGACGTGAGTGTACCCGTCTGGTATCATCTCCATTCTTCCATGCAATAATTCGGCAAACTCTTTGCCGATAATAAATGCCTTGCTAGGGTACGGTCGCTCGTACATTTCCTTCCAGGAATGGATGTCGAAATCAGGCTCTGACTTTAGGCGGGCCACATCAGCTTCACGGTCGCCGAACGTACCTGGCGGTGCTATGTTGATACCCGCCAACAAAAGGTATTCGAAGATAATCTGCGAATCGTGAAACTGAGACAAGGACCTCATGAGCACAGTGGAGAGAGACCTCGGCGTGCACCAGACGAGGATTCTCTTTTGGCTTGCCATGATGTTGAAAACCTTGTCTCTTCGTTTCCTATAATACCAGGTAGGGAAGATGTGGGAGAAGGGAAAAACAAGATATAGCAAATTTCCATTTGCTTTGTCGAAAATGGACTAGTAAAACCGAGGTATGTTTGCCATGATCACTAATTTTGTTCTCTCTCAAGATTAATGCCAGTAGCAGGCTAAAGGAAATGAAAAAGTATATCTGACGAAACAAAGACCTGTTAAACTCCAAGACACTTCCCAACAGCCTGAAGAGTCATCATAGTATGAGTAAAACTGATTTCACTTACCCTAACAAGGATGTACAGGTAACAAGTGGCACTGAGTCGCTCAGAGTCGTCTGTTTATATGAATCTTGATTTCGCTGGTACCCATGGGGTTGTTTGTGTTCTGTAATGTCAGTCGGTTTGACACCAGTGCAGCTGCTCTAAGTATTGTGGAAAAGCGCAAAAGGTTATCGCTGTGGCTAAAAACAAGCGCGTGCATGCGATTAACCTTCGGCCTTGTGGGGTACCGGACCAATGGGAAGTACCCTGCAAGGCCAGTTTTTACCTTGTGGGGTACCAATACAAGAATTTCACGAAACTGATATTTGGAAATAACTCAAAAAGGAGAAATTTTTGATGGGTAAAAATCTGTCGCAAATTGAAGTGTTTATATAAGGGACATACGGTCGAAATTTCAACCCAGGAAACTGAATTTGATTTAAATTGGATTAATTTGAATTTTTTGCCTGTTGTGTGGGACTTTTGTACACAAGAACAAAGGAAATACCCCACAAGTATAGCTGTGTAAGGATGTGTGTGCCTGTGTAGTGGAAGGCGCCGGCAGTGTAGTGGAAGGCGCCGGCAGTGTAGTGGAAGGCGCCGGCAGTGTAGTGGAAGGCGCCGTGGGGGTGTCCAGAGGAGATGCGAAGGATTTCCGCCCCACCCCAAGATATATTGCCAACTGGTTTCTTTATGAATTGAAAGTGGCAGAATGTTGAAACAGCGTTAACATTTCGGGGTAGGGGAGATGCTATTATGTTTAGAGTACCGAAGTGAATACTTCACGCGCACAATTAGTGTGTAAAAGGCATTAGCGCGAGAACCAGCGCGAGAACCAACACGCGCGCGTACTCTATTCGTTTGCACTGCACTTTCTGGTTCACAGTGACGTCACACTTCGGTACTCTATACCGATGAAGAAAATCGGGACCGTCAGTTTTAATGAGAATTCCCTTAGTGGGCACCCTACTGTACCCAACAGTACCCCAACTGTACCCCCTCTGTACCCCCACTGTACCCCCTCTGTACCCCCTCTGTACCCCCACTGTACCCCCTCTGTACCCCCACTGTACCCCCTCTGTACCCAACAGTACCACCACTGCACCCCTCTGTACCCCACTACCCCCGCACCCAGATTACTTCATGTAGCTGTCGCCGTTGGTGAAGCTTTTCAATGCTTTATCCTTAAGCGTAGACGTAAAATGAGACCTATTTATGGTTTCTGCTCTTTTTACGGGGTCTTCCAACCTTAAGCAGGGGGGGGGTTGACCGGAGGCCCCAGGATAAGCAGCTGCTCATCTGTTTAAGAAAGCAATTGTAATGATACCATTAAAAACCTACATTTTCAAATAATGCCAGTTTAATTAGGTTTCATCTGTACCTGGTGGACAGGCAAAGTTGATTCAAAACATTGCAATAAACTCCCCGTTCGACGTACTGACACTGGAAAGGTACTCCGAGCGCATGCACATTATCTACGTGCTTTGGTTTCGCGCCAGCTGTGAAATAGCGGGCGCTGTTCATTGTTTGACAGCTGTCAGGTTGCAGTCCATCCAGTTGGCCAATTTTGTAATTTTGTTGCGAGTTGACTATGATTTGGACTCTATGTAGAAAAAAATTGCGGAATTATTACGCAGGGAACTATTTTCAAGTATATATACATTGCATGGCATTTTGGATTGGAATATATATATGCTGAGTGAATTATATTTCCAGTACTTTTAGTTAATTTCTGCTTTTTTATGGGCCCCGGCAAGAGGAGGCTTTTGTTAATATGGCTACCGTGTTTGAATGAAAGAGGGCGCCTTTTGCTTAGCGACGACGTCTTTTGGGGAATTTATATTGCTTGCACGACCTGGACGTGCGTAAAAATACGAGGTATCCGAAAGCAGACAAACGCGCGTTTTACTTGGACACCAGACACACAGCTTCAATGACGTCCAAGCGTCTACCCCATCTTCCTCTCTAGCTTCACCACCGATGAGGGCTTGCCAGCTCGCGCACGGAACCTTATGTCAAAGAACACACGATTTAACTTTGCACTGTCAATGGACAACATAACATTTGGGGCCTCTCCCCCGGAGTTGAAAACTTATTTAACTGTTTCATCAAGCCAACGATTATTCCTTACTTTTTTCGCAACACCATTTTTTGTCATAGCGACGTGACGTGAGCGCGACATCAGAGTAAACTTGTAACGAAAGCTTCCCGCGGAGAAAGAATTCGTGGTGTTGGTATCAGAAATTTCGAGGCGAACTTCAAAAAGCTCCCACCGATGAGGTCAAAGTTCGCACAACTTGTACACATTCTCCACGATCCCCTGTCTGGTGTCATATGAAACCAGCACTGAAACTAATGAATGATCTTTAATTCAGATTCATTTTCGCTCCAAGATTATTTAGACATGACTGTCATCCACTTTATAATCTTAACTTGCTTGTCCTATCCGGAAATAAGACCGTCACGTCAGATAGTAGGTATGAAAGAGAAAAGAAGCATCTTCATGTCAGAAAGAAACTTCGGGAGATGAAGCTACTCTGCCATTGTAGTGCAGTACTGGTTTGGATCAATTTAACAAGTTTCGAGTGGCTCGACTCATTTCATAGTTCGTGGGTTGGTTTGTTTTCCAAAATCTAAAAAAAAATCCAACTCTGCGTCTTTGCATAACAACATACAGCATACGCATCGATCGAATGATATTTTTAAAAGTGAACCCGGCTTCTGTTGGAAATAATCAGGAAGCAACATGATGGATGTTGGTTACGACAGGACAAATAATGGGAGTGATTTCACAGCATTGTAAGTTATCTACAGCAGGTTGGTCGATTTGTTTTTTTAATAACTGTTCCTCAAAATAATCCTACTCCAAAACTTCCCTTGAACAACACAGTAGAGAAGGCACAAATAAATAAATGAACAAAAACCATGAGCATCCTCTGCCCTTTAAAATCCGGCTTTACTTTGAACATGATTCTCAAAAGCGAATCCGTAAACTGATGAAGCACCCTAATCTAAACAGCTTTGAACCAATCAGCATCTACCTTGTTCAAAAGTTATAAACTTACTGTCAAGTCATATCCATCCAATCGGGCACGGCGTTCCGTGACGTCAGTTTGACAGAGTGCGTGCTGTTACCATCAGATCACTAGAAAAAACAAAACAAAACGAAACGAAAGCTTACGTCCTGGTCGATGGTGGTTAACTGTTAAGCTTAATGTGCTCATAAACACAGTAACACCAAATCTTGCTACTACATGAATGTACCTGGGAGTTTCTGTGTGGAAAAATATCCGCGAGTTTTTTCTCCTACCTACGGATGCATGAAGGCGGAGGAAAAATAAAACAACAAACAAAAATAATTAGGTCTTGTAAAAGCATACGTGGTTTCATAGAATCTATTTCAGTTAGCAGAGGAGGTCCAGCAAGAGCGTATATAAGTGACAGAATTTGGCACCCAAGATTATCATGCACCATATCGCCCAGTTTAAATTCACATGAATTTTTATCTGCGACTCAGCTCAGCATCCTGATCGAAAATCTTGGCCAGCAAATTTTACTTTAAAGGCTAAACAAAGACTTGCTTTGACGCAGTATACCGCCATGGGTTACTGCAGACCTGCCTCGTGTTTTTCGCCGCAAAGTGGGTGGCTGCTCTTTGGGAAGTCATTTCTGATGGCTATGAGCATTAGCACATTGTTTTGCCTCGCTATGCCGTCTCTCGTGCAAGCCTTGCCCTTAGCTACACCAGTCAGCACCCCTCCCGGATGCTCTGGCTCAGTTGTCGAAGTTCATGTCCTCTCCACAATCGACGCTCGTCTGTTTGGGCTCCTGTCCTACAACACGTCAGGGCTTCAACCGCTGCAATCGGTGCACGTACCTGTCCAGGAGGACCATGAGCCAGACTCCGAGGCCCACTGTCCGTCGAGTCTGGAGCCGGTGCAACAGATGTGGGGACCGAGTAGGGCATCCACCTGCCCGTGGATCTACCAGCACGACCACGACCCGAACCGGTATCCGAGCGAGCTCGCCTGGGCCGTGTGTCAGTGCCAGGGTTGCCTAAGCCGTGAGGGTGGGGCCAAGAACGAGATACCAGATATGGAATGCCGACAGGTCAAGTACAGAATGCCGATACTGCGACGAAACGGTTGCTCGGGAGGCCTGGTGAAATATAACCTCGACTGGTTGGAAGTCCCCGTAGCCTGCGCTTGCATGAGACCAGAGACTCCCACTGGTAATAGGCCCCCTGGAATTATGGGAGGTTAACCAAGTCATCGGCGAAGGAGTTCCTAAACGGTTTCCGTGTTGATGAACATGATATAATTTCAACTGATCATTGAATAAATGGTACCTGTTTATTACAACTGGCAAATTTGCAAGAATCATTATCTTAGTAAAGAAAATTACCCAAATTATGTTTTAGTGCTTTTCGTAAAAAAATACTCACATTCCCAGGAGGAAGACGAAGGAAACACTTATTTCCAAACGAAAATTATTTTAAAACTGATAAGTGGCATTATTACTTAAGAATTATGTAGATTCGCTTTAAATTAGCCTGTAATTGCATGAAAAGATATGTCTATAAGTTAGAATCAATGACGTATTTTTGTGAATAGGCCCACACGTAAAGCAAAATGCTAGAAAGCATGCACGCTGAGTGTGAAGTATGAATCCTAAAAGACATTTGTTCTGTTGGCCTGTTCCCTGACAGTAATGAACTTAAGGAGTTGATCCTTTGGGAGTCCTACGTAACGTACAGGAGCAGACGCGCCAACGCGGTGACTTGAACGCATGCCGTTGACGTCTCTCCAAAACACAATCCTCTGGTATCCCGAAGAGATTCAAACCATTAATTTGATCAATCTCGGTCACCCGATGGTCTCGGTTACAAACCTCTCAGCGACGTTTTTAACCCTGTAGAAAGCGTGAGGCGTATCACCGCCATGTTCCAAATTCTGTGATGCTGTCAAAACAAGGAAGGCATTTTGATCAGTTCACTCAAACTGATTGTTTATGCCATTATAACCGCTGAGGGAACAATTTGATTAAGGTCACTGGTGTGGACTTACGATCACAGTACCTTTCACCATCTTTATCGTCGACACTCCGTCATGTTGTGTGGCTAATGTTATATCAGATACGCGCATATTCTTTTTATACACAGACGCTATGAGAAACGACGGCTGATGAATTTAATCGATTTAGACAGTTGCTAATTATTTCTGTGATTCTGTTGACGTAACACTACTTCCTTTTAAAGTTAGTCACGTTTCTTTCTTTTTTTTTTGTAGATTAGTTTTACATCCTTTTTTTCGTTGAAAGGGGGAAAATTAATGTTTAGTTTCCGACACAATGACAAATATAACTGTTCCGGTATAAAAATAAATGAATTTTTGTAAGTGGTGCTAAACTAATTAAAGAAATTACCCAAAGTGCTGACTAGTTTCTAAGTAATCTTCTCTTTGTATATTATGATGAAAAAGCAAACAAAGCGATTTCAAGTCCAAATTTCCAGACTACATGCATAAACATTTTCCATGCACATGCGCAATGTGAAGTCTCATTTCTGAACATTTCGTTGATCACTGTTTTGATTAGCCTGCATGCCACCATGAGACAAGAATAAAAAGATCTTCCCCCTTCGGCACGATGTCTAAGATTGTTCATCCTATATCTTTCTTGAAAACTGCCTCCGCAGATGCCAAATAGTTGGGGTTTTTACAAAGATTTTGTACGCAACTCGTTTCGAGTTCCTAGGGTCACAGTCTTTTACTCACCACAGCTGCTTGTAACCTATGGACATCGGTCAGTACAAAAGCAATAGCTTTGGCCCTCCAATGCAGGGGAGGGGGTCTGTGTAAGGATTATTCCATGCAGTGGCGTAACTATGGTCGTTTGTAACGCAGAAGGTCCGCAGGACGTTAAGACGCAGACATGAACAGAAGAGACGGTACATGACATCATTCCACCCAAAAATTGAAACAAAATGGCGTCCGAAACTCTGTAAATTTTTTTGCGGAAAATACCCTTTTAGATTGATGCCAAACCTGTACTCCAATTTCATGCATTTCGTTGATGGTCAGCAATTTAGTTGATTATAAGGGTGTAATAATTAAGCATTACGGAGAAAATGGGCAAAATTCATGGCAATAAGCAAGAGGGACATCGTTGCACGCCGGTCATGCCATCGTACTCGACGCAGACAGTTGGCAAAGTTGAACCTGGCTCAACTTCGCCGATCGTTCGCAGGCTGCATTGCGTTTGTCTGCGTTTTCAGTGATACTTCCATTTGACATTTTTGCAATTTGCATCTTGATTGCATTACTCGCTGCGTTTCTTACGTCTGATATGGAAACCAGGCTTTACACCCAGGGGTGCATTTTTTTTAAGGATGGGGTTCCGAAAGCTGATGACGTACTGCTTGTACATAGGTTGTGCACAGGTCAACATTTTAATGGGAAAGGGCACCCACGGGCACAACCCACGCTGGTAGGAGGTTTCCCCGGCTCCTAATCTAAAACGTCGCTGATTCCTGGCCAATCACAGCGCGCGAAATTTGTCTACCCCAGTTTCCAAACGCGCATTGTGTCGGCAGATTTCGCGTATTGTGATTGGCCAACGCAATGCAAACTCTTGGTGGCGCACTATTGTGAATCGCCCGTATTATCAGTACAACTTACGAAAATTTGTTCTGCGAGATGAAGATTCAACACATCGCATTCTCATACGCTTATTCTCATGATTATTTACCTTTTTTGGGTGCGTTGCGTACACGATGTTTTCATGCGTTTCACTTTCACGGACGTGAAAAAACGTGTGCGTTGCGTTCGACCGTCAAAATCGCGCCCGGGGCGATTTTAATGGATACACAATTAACGCTGGGCGCATGTGTTGACGCACATGTTATATGGAAGTGCCTTAATGAGCCTTTTGCGAAATATATAATAAAGTCAGGTACACCGAGTTCTTTAAATTCACGTGAACATAACTATTTGAATTCTCCTTAGTAAAGACACTGTTGCTAGATACCGTGCACGATATGGGGCTGATGGGTGCCCCCCCACATGTCCAATCCCTATACACACTCTAGACTATTGTTACCTAACACATCCCCCCTAGAAGTCTGTAAAGAATTCCTTAGATTCTAATCAAACAATTACCAAGACAAAGGAGGGGGGAGTTTCTCTCCGCCCCATATCTTGCATCATACGAGTTGCTTTACCGCTGGATTCGGGGCAAGCTTTTACTAAGTTACATGCAAGACGCCTTGCATCAATACACTGTCCTCAATGGATAAGATGGGCACAAAGGAACCTGTCCATTCTAGGGATGGGGGTTGCTATGCAAAAGCTTGCCCCCAATCACGAGGTACATACAGCAACAGTGTTTTTAGTCTGAGGAATCAAATCGTCACGGTTATGCGCATTAAGATAACACGGTGTGCAAGATGTTATTCAATTGAAGTTGCAAAAGGCTTATTCCCTACCCCCCCACGCCGTACCGTTCACCTTCCTCTCCGGTCCCCCCACACCTAGTCTTGGGTTGCAGGGTCTAAAGAAGGTCGTCTTTGTTGTCTGAAGTTGAGCAGTTACCTAGGGGCAATTACTAAACACCTGTGGAAATGGAACTTCCGTGTCTACGGGATTGGCGCAGATAATTTTTGATACTACCTTTTTGATGACTCGGAAGAGCCACCCTGCCAGAATTTTACACAATTTGGAGAAGAATGCATAATCAGGATTTATCGGGAAGGGAGTGCGACGACTACAAAAACACAGAATGGCACACAAGTAAACATACATCTGACCAGAAAACCCCCAAAAATATTCCCCGGTTTCCGGGTCTTCTTGTTTAGGAGTTGATGACTCACAAACATGACCTAAATTCCGTTCTCAGGTTTTCAAGTGATTAACCTCTCTGTGCAGACGAAATCATTGATAACTTCGAAAACACAACGACAATAGGCCGCCTGGTATGTTTGACTTGAACTTAGGGTGGTTGTAGAGATTGTGGGACGGTAAAGGCCTACTCATTTACTGCCCGAATTTGCTTATTCCTTGGCAGAGAACACGTGTACCGGGCTCGCTCAGCGTACGTCAATACACAATGAGAATGACTGTTGACAAGTCCTCAATGTGAAAACGAAAGAACGACAGAAAAAAATAAGTTGAACTTTGCCCTTTCCAGAAGAGCGCATCACCAATGACTGTATATAGTCAGTCCTGCGTTTATTTCAGGAATCGTTGGTCCTATAATGATTGCATTTCTTGTCGCGATTCAGAGAAAAACAGAAACCGCGCCTGAAATCCACAGCAACACGACTTCCTACTACCCCACCATCCCTGCCACAAGGGAACTCTCCAAATGCCGGCAACACTTTATGTGGTGAGAACAACACCCCACTTTGCGCATGCTCCACATTTGTGTTCTGGCAAAGCGCCAGCGTCGTCGATGGACTAGCAGCGCGGGTCGAATTTGTGCTTTGTTGCAGACACCAAATCACCAGTTTGTCTACACCCTGCAGATCTGCCACTTCGATAGTCTCTCTCGCAGTCGTACATAAAGCTGAATCGTTTGTAAGCTGAAGATCAAGTCAATCAACAATGGTATGTGTCCCTGTCTTCAATCTGTTTTCGCAGTCTTTATAAGGGTGGGTCGTATTGCTGTATTTTAATCGGAGCATACCAACGAGAAATAACTTGCCCTCTCGTTTATGTTTGTAATTTCAACCTTCGTCGTGAAACCTCTTTCGCCTAACACAGGCAACTTGTCGTTGGGATTCTTTCCGAATATACCTCAGCATTCGAAGTGTGTCTGTATTGTTTGAATGGTGTCTGTTTGGCACCAAGAAAATAATTCCAAATACACCTCCTAAATGAGAAAACGACGCAACGGAAAAGGATCCCGCCGGCATATTATTTTGGGGATTTTCCCCGTTTGTCAACATGCAATTATTGTTAAGCGCGCTAGCCAGCATGTGCGCTTACTATATCACTGCGTATCAGTCAGAAATAAATCTCCTCTGCCACATCCGGGTTTGAGGATCAAAGGGCACTCTCGAGGTTTATGTCATGAAAATTTTCTTTTTGCAATCTGACATTTATAAAGCGCATTACGTATTCACTTTGATTGTTTTACCACTGTTGGGGCATTTGAGGCAGGAAATAACCCCTCTATGATTTTGATAGGCAACGCTGAAATGGTAATTTCGGATTCAGGGTGGAATTAATGCATTTTTCTTTCAAATCTAACATATTTTCAATATGTAACATCGTTTGCGAGTGTGAAAGTTCTGCTTTTAATTTCAGGGTTTTTCCTTCCTTTCTTCATCATCTGGTTATTCCCATAACAGGCAGCTTGGAATAAACCGTTTGCAGTCCCGTGACAATTTTGTAAAAAAAATATCTCATATTCTTGTACTTGTTCAGTCAGGCTCATTGCGTAGAACCCACCTACTGAGGGGGCAGACTACTATGATGTCAGTCGTCTTGCTCCTGTCGATAATGGTGAAGGCAGATCAAGAGAAGACCAGTTGCCTCGTTCCTGATGACGTCCACCTTCTCTCTTTACTGATAGAGAACGGTGGAGTCGTGCTTAGCCCCCCGGGCAACGAGGGGGACGTTGAACCTCGGCGCTCAGTCCAAGACATTCATATTTTCAATCCAACTAGCCTCCTGGGCGATACTCCGTCAGATTTGGACTGCCCTGTCGGGGAGAAATCGCCCCAAGACGGGGCCGTGAACGAGATCGCAACGTGTCCGTGGCGGTACGTTGTCGATAGGGACCCGCACCGCTACCCGGTCAGCGTATCTCACGCCGTCAACCGATGCGGCGCCTGCCTGGACCAGCACGGTGCCTTGATTGAGGGGACGAGATGTGAACCAGTCCCCTACCTAACCAAGGTCTTACGCCAGAGGGGGTGTGACCAACGGGGCGGTATCATGCAGTACGACGTGGAAGACCTAGAACAGATTGTAGCTTTCCAATGCACCATTATACCCAAACGCCTCAATGAGCGGATTTAAACTTCTTTAAAGACGTGAAATTTGGTTTTGAAGTTTAAAGAACTGTTATGACCTCATGATTTTTCACCCAGGGATGCGGTTGTCACGTTCACACACTTAATGCTAGTAAAGTTGCAGAGCTAGAGCTGAAAGCTTACTGGGATTATTATTATTATTATTAAATTAAATTTATATAGTGCTCATTCCATAAAATATTCAAGAGCACGTTACAATATAAAAAATTAACAATCTAGCTACAAGGATATATAGAATAAAATAGACCAAACAAAAATGTTCTAAATTAATAAAATGCTTTCTTAAAAAGTTTTTAACATTGATTTAAAAGTAATAACACTGGTAACACACGTAATATGACATGGGAGTTTATTCCAGAGATACGGAGCGCAATATTCAAAGGCTCGGTCCCCAAAGGTAACCTTACCCCGACTCACAGGGATGTAATACAGAAATGTCTGCTTGATTTGTCGTTGTTCGCTAAGTCAATCGATTATTTTAAGTATGTAAGCTTTCTTAGATATTGTCAAATGCTGGTCAAGGTTTGCCTGGGTACATGTATTCTTAAAAATTTCCTTTGCAAATTAAGAGGAAGTTCTGTTAAAACCACATTAAGATTATTTGAGATACTTTCATTGTCGCCGTAAAAAATGTTCCATACATTATGAAATGGTTTAGCATTAAAATACAAGTACACATACAGTTTATAGTAGCGAAGTGTAAATTTTGAAACCTGCGCGTGAAAATGTCATTAAAATAAAGTGCTTGATAGGCAGTTCTTTTTTTATAGCAACATTGCCTAAGCAATCAGTGACGTCATCGTGATTTGTTCCACTTTGCATTAAGTAAACCGGGGGGAGGGCGGTGGAGCAACAGTACTCGACCTGCTGAACGCTGTTGAGAGGGAACGTGGTATCTGGAGAACTGGAAAGGACACTTGCCCTAACCAGCCCAAACGAAACCGACTTAGAGCTCTCGATCTCATGACAAATGGTACCGGGTACAGGCTGGGCTATGTTTAACACAGCATTTGAAGCAAGATATGGGACGGAGAGAGCCTCCCCCCCCCCCGCCTTTGTGTTGATCATTGTTTGATCGGAATTTCAGGAATTCTTTACAGACTTCTAGGGGGGGATGTGTTAGGTAACAATAGTGTAGAGTGTGTATAGGGATTGGACAGGTAAGGGGGTACCCCTCCGTCCCATATCTTGTCTTGTGTGTATAACGCAGCAGCGACACACAAAGCACAGCCCGAATTACATGACACCCAAGCTTTCGATACTATTGTTCATAGTAGTGTTGGTTGTGCAACTCCAAAGAGAAATAGTCCCGGCTCTCTGAAGTGATTGTAAGCATTCGTTCTGGAGATCTTTCGTTATTGTGCAAACAATTAAGCAGCAACCGAAACCCACTGATAATGGGCAGTGAACATTTTTAGATCAGCTTATTAATTCGGGCTGCCAAGCCTGTGAAAAGTGCGCCATCGTTGACGCTACACAATTTTACTAGAAAACTGTCCAAGTTGAAGCATAAATTATTAAAAATATAAATTTAGATAATTTCATTTTTACTTTGATATGTTTAGAAACAGCTGGTCAAAATATGTATTTTTTCACTCTTTATTCCACCTGTGTAGCTTTAAGCAACAGAAATATTCAACACGTATCAAGGGGTGAAGTTTCTGCTGAAGTAGTTTGCTGTTTCTATAAAGAAAACTAAATTCCAGTGACTTTCCAATAAATTGGATAAGGCTGCTATTCAACACAAATGTTTCCCCCCCCAACACCATTTCAGCAGATCGTTACGGAATTAACCAAAGTCGCAATGAATTTGAGTAAAGAGATACGGGCGAAATGATTCTCGTTTCTATTTAGGGGCAAGTGGGACAGAGACTCTTTTAGTGAAAAAGGTCGGAGCTTTCTATCTGATGTTGGAACATCGGATTCCGGTTGAACAGGTTGGAGGGGATTTGAACGGGGTGAAATGATTTTTCCCAGGCAAACACAGATATCAAACACTTTAAATTAATAAGCAAAGACAGCAATTCTGAAACTTTGAGCTCTATTCATTTTCATTATCCATGCATAGTTTGCTTTGTAGCTTCGTTCGACAAACAATTACAGCTTTAACAACAATATCAACAGGTCTGTTAATTAATCTAAAAATACTACATAAAACACCCACAAAATGATGCATTGAAACGTAGAAAGCAGCATAACAAAAAGATAGATGATAAAATAATCTTCATCATCACAGGTATAAATTAAATTATAGTGAGGTAGTTTTTATTATAGTACTTGATTCCAACCGCTTAGGATAACAATTTTATCCTTAATATAAGGAACCTTACAATCCACATGGTGGATACAGTTTTTCTTATCTAAGATCATGTTGAATGCATAATTTTATTCCTTTTCTTTAGAGTTTATTTAAAATGAATAAACCTGCTTTAATACTGAGGAAATTAATCTCCTTACTGCTCTAATAATGGACTACAGTTTGAGTCACTTGAACACAATAATAAAGAATCCTGTCAAAAGGATATGTGCATCAATAAGTACAGTACATGAAAAGTTCATTCTTCAGAGCTTTAAGTCTTTAAAATTTAAGTTTTTAATTAAATATCACAGTTTCTAAATATCACAGAACAGCTATCAAGAATAAAACCCTCAAGCTACGTGAGAAAAACTACCATTTGTTCGAAATTTATACATAATACTCTATGACAAAATAAAAAAAGTTTAAAACCCTTATTTCTGAGTACGTAAATCAATATTTTATAATAAATATAAATATGAATAAATTTTTTTCCTAAATAATCTGAAATATAGATTGTAGCCTCTGTAACATTTCGAAATCCAATTAATTAAAAAGTGAGGTCTGGTTTGGAATGTCATACTGGCAAAGAAAACCATGGGCTTTAGTTTTTTGGCAGTCGACGATGAATGAAAGCTAACAATTTCTAAACTCTACCTCCCCCGCGCTATGTGCCATTACCATAAGTGCATGCCTAAAGTAGAAGTCTGTTTAGCTCGAAACCATCTTTTTTTCTCTCTCTTCGGAGAAACAGGATAAGTTACTTCGATCAATAATCACTTTTGATTTTTTCGACTTCATAATACCCCTGGCGCCCTCCTATTTATTCAAGCCCACCTGATAGTCTGCCAGTTGCGTTGGTAGTTTTCCATTCAAGTTCTCCATTAATTAAGATCTAGTGACGGGACGGCTACAGGAGAAGGCCACGGGGATCGTCTGGAACCCGACCTGGTAGGTGTAGTTGCCGTTTGAGCATTCGCTTCGGTTCATCACCTTCAGGGTGTAATTGATTGGTTCACAGACTGCATCAGGGATTTCTGCGCCTACAGGAGATTCCAAAAGGTGAACAATTGGAAACAGTGCCTCAGCTTTTTCGATGAGGGGTACTTGTCCGGTGGTTGAATCGAATCGCTGTGTACTATAACGAGGCCGTGTCTGAATTGGCTGTGGCTTAGGATCACACACAACAGGACCTGAGTCCAGCCACTATACAGACTCGCGTGTAATTTTAAGACGCAACCTAGTATTTTGGGCAAGACCTCTTTTTCTCAAGGGGATTAACGTTACAAGGAAAGGATATAGCGCCCTCTATTCAGCGAGAGGGCGCCATTGCAAAAGGCCCGTGGGCTTCTGAGTTACGGGTTGCCAAAGTTTCTACGGGATGAAAGTTCATGCCTAGTTGGCAACAAATGTTTGCCTGAAAATGTGTAATTACTTCCTCGTTGTTGACGCGGGAGGCAGTTTCTGTTGGTGTTTAGTAGCAGTATTAATTATTTAGAATTTGATATTTAAATGAGACTTTTTAAACACTGTGAATTATTCCTTTCGTTTTGTACTCTAAGCCAGATGTAGTTTTACTCACTGATTGTTGGCAAACCTGCGCTTTTGAACCGCAAAACAAAGATTCTAAGGCCACAGGCATTCTGACATTTTAGAACAGCAAATGGAAACCTTTCACAAGCAATTCAAAAGCTTCGACAGTGAAAAAATTCCTCCGATAAACACATTAACGTTTGGGCAAACGCATCTTTGTGCTTATTGTAAGACTAGCTCTCGTTAATGAATATTCATGTCTGACGAGTTTGGGGATATCCCCTTAGATCGAACAACATGCTGATCAAATAATAATTTTGACATCATAATCCCCTGGAAATTCTTCCAAGATTTATCTAAGCCTGTCAAAAATGTACTTTTCTCTGTTCTTTCTTTCTCTCTATCTCTGCTCTGAAATGACTCATTTGACATTAGGATTTTTTTCAGAGTTGTTCCTCTTTTCTTTTTTTCCCTAGCATTATACATCTGACAGGAGTGCAAGCAGTGGAAATCCGCCAGCACGTGAGAATGGCTTCATTTCATTCTGGTTTCCCGCTGGGGATTTCGTCCCTATCGGACGGGAATTCCCGGGTTCCGGTACTCCCGAGAACATCACTGTCAAACCGCAAAGAATACATTAAGGTGGGTACGGAACGTTTCCGTGGGGAACCATCCGTGTGATTCGTCATGAAACCGCAGGGATGCAGTGTGAAAGTCTATTTATTTACTGAAGAAAGGAGGACGTTTCCAACCCTGTTCCAACAAAGACTATACGCGAGTCTGTCCATGACTCATCGACTGGCTGAACCGTGAAAGGCGGTTGTTGTTTTTTTAGTACCTGAGAGCGACGGACACGCGCGTTCTTTAAAAAGCAACACAGCAGGGATAAGGACTTTTTGTGAAACATTGGGGATCGTTTCATTGGTAACCCCTTTTGTTTGAAGCCATGCATGGATCACATCAATTTATATAAATTCTGTAACATTAGGGTTATCCATTTTTTTTTAATCAAAGGGTTAAAATTCAAATGGAAGCTTTTGCTTGGCATGTAGGGAAATTTAATCTGAGATTTGCTCCAAACTGAACACCCAAATGCATTTATGGTTTCCACTGTTAAAGGACGTATTCTAGCGAAGGAACCAAACCAGCTGTAATTCGAAGATATATATGGAATTAATTACAGATATTGGAGACCATTTTCAATCCAACGTCGTGGCAAAGAACGTGATATTGCTCACTCTCGCAGGAGAAAGCCCACAATTTTCCAACTTTGATCCGTCTGTGCCATTTTACTCTAATAAGTCCAACCCAACACACAGAAGCCAACCATTTTGAAAACAACAAGGCATCATATTGTTCAATATTGTACTGCTCTATCAAATACTCAGAAGAGCACCGGTACCTGCTAAATTAGAATGTTGAATCGAACACTTACATGCACTTTGAATTCGAACATGTTGAATCCAGCAGTTTGAATAAATGCATTTAATTTAGCATTTTAATTAAGTATTAACCCAACAGTGAAAACTGATTGAATAATTTAAGTCTTAATTCAACATGTTTCCTTGAAATTGTTCATTCAGTCTTTGAAACATTGCATTGAAAGTTGAAAAGTTGGATTCAAAAATTAAAATGCTAGATTTAACATTTGAAAATGTTAGATTCAACAGTTTCAAAGCGAGGTCACTGTAACCGCACACAGTGTGGTGAGGAACACTTCAGTTGTTAACGTGTATTGACGATACACAAGGTCATTAGAGTTCACTTACCCGTGCGTGGATTCAGGCACTTGGTGCACAACTTCACGGCTCGGTAGATGACCCTCGGTAGACGGTTACGATTCTCCTCTCGCTCGTAGCTCCACGGGCACGTGCCCCGCTCATTGACAGCCATAGAGGCGTCAATGCTTGCGTTCAAGGGGCAGGGCGCGGCGTTGGTAGGGCTGCCGGTTGGCACTGTGAACTCAGGCTCGAAAGATGAGGAATCGTCTTGGATCCCAAGCAGGTGAGTGTTAAGCTCAAGAGCCGTCAACTGCCCACACTGGCCGGCCGATGAGGAGGTGTCACGGTCTCTCCGAACGGGAGACGAGTGCGCCAAAGAGGAGAACGAAAAGAGCAAAACACCCAACAGAAAGGCCGTCATCGAGATGCGAGCCATGATCAATGAAATGCGGAGTAAATGCAGATGGATAAGCCGCGCAACACTTGTTACGTTCTAGTTTTCACACCGTGTCTTTGTTGAGGTGGCTGGTCAGTCAAATTTTGAGATGTTTCTGACAGTCAGGTCTGTCCGCCTTATATAGATTTAACACCTTGCGGAGAGGGCATCTGACCTTTCTAAGCTCTCTTTAGATCGTCCGAGCAATCTGACGCAATTTCTCTGCTTAGTTAGGGAATTTCCCAAGGCTAAAGGAGAACAAAAGACACACCTAAGGTTACCTCAAGCATGCATGGTGACACTTAACATCCTTAAGCCAATTCCGTTTTTGTCTCCCGATCAGCTCTGCCTGAAATATTTTAAGGGGGTGTTGAAATCATGATTACCCGACAAAGACATTCATCACGAGGGAAAATTAACGGGGGCAACAATAGGAAGAGAAATCTGGGGAAATCAAAATGACTAGAGGTCCCGTGAGCGACAAAAAGGACCTTTTTAAGTAAAAAAAAAAGGCCTCCAGTCGAAAAAGCCACCGAAATTGTGTACATTCCGGAAATTGCTTTGAAAAGAATATTTTGTATTAAACATATTAAGCTTTATTAAGCTTTAGTTTGTAAAGGACACGTGTTTTGTAGGCGGCACTTAAGCAGATAAAAAAAATTAAATTGTGGATAACAAAAATTGAGAGGTTGAATGAAGCACACGGAAGAGGAATACGGAATGGAGGGAATTTTTATTGTCGCTTTTTGTTCTTCTTCTTAGGATCAAAAAGGGTCCATAGAAATCTGAAACTTTGGTCAGGAAATCAAAAATCAAAAGGCTGTGTTGCAACTCAAAGAGTAATCCGTGAAGAATGCGACAGGATGTGCTTTCAGAGAAGGGGCGGGCTGGGCAAAGCAGGGGACTTTATATGTCAAATTCGCGCCTGGTTGGGGGACTGAACATCAGAGAGAATTGGAATTGAAAAGAAAGACTAACGAGTGAACGGGTTGGATTACATCATTTTTCCGTTGAGGGCGCCCCAGTGTTGTAGGTTTAGTCCATTATTGTTATTTCTTTCTCAGTGGTACTGACCGCCAAGGATTCCTCAAAAGCACCCCAGGTACTGCAGAACGCAAGCCTGAATAAATCTGTAGAGATTTGTCATTTCTGAAGGATGGTTTGCAGAACATATATAGGCCTGTATTATCATAGGAAAAATTGGCATTTCGTAACCGGTAAACATAATCTTTTTATTTTAATACATCGATCGATAAAGATGAGACTTGTTGCTTCATCTTCCCAACAAGACGGCACATCTCCCTCGTCAAGGTATAAACCTACCGTCACAGGGATCTACGTCCTTGTTGCGTTTAAATTGTTATCCCTTTGTGTTTTATGTCATTCTCAAATCTTGAATTTCTGATGTGGGGAAAAGACTTTTTTAGTGGTAATCTCCGGCCTTTGTACTTAACGCGACCACGACCTACACAGATCAGCTCAACAAAAATGATATTCTGCCCCCCCTCCGTTATCTAGAAACCACTGATTTGCAAATTAACGCGACATTTGCCAAGAACCTTTTTTTTTTTTTTACAAACGAAACGTCAGCCGGATTTAAATAACTTCTTGTCAGGTTTTCCAAACAGCAGATCTCCCCATTATCCAACCTGAGAGTAATAAAGAAAGTGATGCCTGAAATTCCCCAAGGAATAGTGAAAGTTTCGTCTACCTTGTTTTGGAGACGAATGCCCCAGTAGCAAGGGACACACATTCCGGGGAAGAAAACCAAAGACACAGACCAGCCGTGGCTGAAAGCCGTGAATTTTTTATCCGATACCGTGCATGATATGGGGCTGATGGGTACCCTCTCCATGTCCAATCCCTAGACACACGCTAGACTATTGTTACCTAACACACCCCCCCCCCATCTGTAANGCATCATATGGTAATCCTGTGCACATCGCATACGTGGGCAGGTGAATACTGAATAACGGTGTTCTTCCGCTAATTTTCCAAAGAACGAAAGGTCTTTTAACATGGTTGTGGGGGTATTGGTAAGCTAACGAATCCTTGATTTAATCTGGAATTTAAAAGGGACTGTCTTGTCTTTGATAAGTTTCAGTCGCGGGAAAAACCGAACAGCATTGGAAAACCAAAATGCCTTTGTTGTCTAAAACCGTACTATCAATCAAGGTGAGCGCTATAAGCCATTTCGCATACTCTACCACTTACGTCTAGGCTAAAACAACGCGTATCCTACTTTCATTATTAAAAGAGAAAATGAAAGGTAAAGGCAGGTCAGGGCTTTGATATTCAGTTGTTAGAAAGCTCTGATGATCTGCAAAATGGAGGTTATGTCAACCGTTCAACGTGTATTTGGTTTCCCCCAATATCCCCAGGCACCATGGGGGATTTGAAATTAAACACTTGTCAAGTTCAGTCTCCGAGATAAATTCACATCTGGGGTGAAGTTGTGACACATCTTAGCTCAGAATAACCTTTAGTTGTCGCATAGACGTGTTGACTAGATACGCCTGAACTGGGCCCAGTAGAGTAATGGAGTTTGGAAATTAGGGCCAAGTATTTGCTAGACTCAGGGCAAACTTCGAAATCAAGTTGTTAGTCTATTTTTTTTTCTTTTTGGGACTGGGACACAGATACCAAGATAACACCGCTTTATGACACATACTGTAATTAACACACCACGTAACCTGTGACGTTTTGTTTGGCGTCCTTCGCGCACATTACCGCCAGAAATATCAGTCCATCTTGGTTTGTCTGCCCCGTTGTTGTAATACATTACTATAGTAAATTATATAGAAATGTACTTTAAATTTTGCTTTTATCAATATTTCCCTCGATAAATATGAAAGTGGTTTGTTTTTGCGCAGGGAAGACAGGTCACTGAAAAACATGTCTTTGTAAACACCCGACACACTGTCTATAAAAAGGCTGTCTAGACATGGGTAAAATTTGCCTCTCAATGGGGGGGGGTTCACCCTCAGCTGTCTGCATCGAAAAGATAGTGGCTAGAGAACTGCAGTAGCCATATATCCTGCTTTCATCAATCGCTACGCCGTCTGTTTCACCTCAGTATGCTTATTTGAACTTACTTTTAATGGAAAATTTATATTAAAATGGGAGCTTTCTTATCCTAGTTCAATGAAGTTTGGTTAATCAGTATCGTAACTAACAAAACAAATTGGAAAGCTGATAGATGCAAACCGGGAAGATGAAAATGGATCAAAGGAGATAAAAGGTCTGTTTTGAAATAGGCAAGCCAAACTGTGGCAAGGTGCCAAAAGCTATAATGCCGTCTGTGAGAAGATTTACAGGATATTCATTGGTGCAAAATAAATGCAGGATATGGTACAAAATGAAGGCCGAAGTCTACAGAATGAATGGTTTGAATACAACAGGTTTCCTGTCAGTAGAGAGCATAATTACATCACGCCTTGTAAATCCTGTTACTATTAGGAGCGTACAGAAACTGGGATTCCCGGTGTACTTCAGATAACAATCCGATTTAAGATGCCAGCCCGGTGATGTAGTTTTCTCAACATCGTTTTTTTTTCAAGTCAGAGTTCAAAATATTGATTTTGTTTTGGCATGTTCTCACAAATTTCTTAAAGTGTTCTTTGAATACTTAATTGATTTTACGAAGTCGTTGATTATATTTGGCTGTTTATAAACAATTTGGGCAGGTTTTCTTTCCAATTGCGGATAATATTCTGTAGACTGCGACCTTCAAGCATAATGCGCCCTCTTGCGTGTAATTTAGTTTGACACCTTTTTACGGGCACATCCAGTTCTGTGTCCTTGAACGAAATTTCTTGGAAATGGGTTTTAACAGCCAGCACGAAGCAGCTATCCAACTGAGAATGGATAAATATTTTGGCTTTTGTTGAATGAACCTAAACTAAGCAGGGACATTGTTCGTGTCTGACCGTCAGTGGAAGGCGGCAGTCGCAGCGAAGGGGGAGAGTCCCTGTTTCACAGAAACAGTCACTTTCTACTTCCATTGACCAAATGATCTGTGGTGTGACGGAAGGCCTGCTGGCACGATCGTAGCTACCAGATTTCGGGCAACCTCGTCTTTGGGGACAAGCATGCCGCATGTTGTTAGGACTTGAGATCGCGCAAGGCGTGGTGGAAACCGACATGGCTAGTGCAACCCATGGCATGGAATCGAAGTTAGATGGGAGGGGGTAGGGAGTGACGGTCCCTTGACGAGTTAGTCGTGCCGATCATCAGGAACAAGCCGTGTAAAGTGGCTGAAATGCTACTTCTGCGCCGCGCCACACAATTTGAATTGTTTTGGAAGTTCCGTCGTTCAAATCATAATTATATGTGCGCGTAATGGCTGGATCGTACGACAGTACGGGCCTAATGATGCGGATCCCTCGGGAAGAGTGGAGATGCCGTGAGGTTGAAGCGATGAGCACAGTTTAATACGTTATAAATCATTTGCAAACTGTGAAATTACGAAAAACAATCATTCATTATAAGGCAAAAGTCGGTGTGAAGGTGGTTAAACAATAGTTTGTACTTCAGGACGAGGAGGTAGTCATAACGCAGTTATTTCAGTAATGTTTGTTCGCCCTTTGCTTGGATGATGCATTTCAATTTCTGATTGGAATGGCACTGCAACACCGCCGTGGGACAATTATATTTCCAAGAAATGTGCAAACATTGCATAGTCGAAGGATTTGTTCTGGTAAACGCAAGGGTGAATAGGCATTTCATTTTCTACGAAGGTTGGCTATATTTTTAGCCCTTCCTTTGCAATCCTCCGTAAACCTGCCTGAAGGTACAGACTGATGACGTAAAGGAGCCTTTTCAAAATAATTTTAAGAGCAACTCAAAGGAAAACACGTTTTCTCTGATTTTATCTGTTAAAATAAATATGGAAGCGTTTAAGATTGTGAAAAGACCTGATTAATGTTGTGTGCACTTTTTGGATATCATTTTTGAGTATAAGCGGCATGGACAAAGGAACCCATGAAGGTGATAAACCGGTCATTACATTGTTACTTTGCAAACATGTACATGCTTGTAGCTCTATGTTTGTACAAATATTTAAGCCTCGATTTGCTGGAATAGGTGACTTTGAGATGCTTTGAGATGTGGAGCTAAAAGGCGCCTTTCCATATGTACGTTTTAGGGTTACGTTGCGATGCGTTCATGCGTTTCACTTTCACCGTGACATAAAAATCGACTCCAATAACACACGCGTGCATTGCGTTCGGCCATCAAAATCGCCCCGGGAGTGATTTGGACGCACATAATGGAAAGGCGCTTCATCATCAGTCCGAGATATATAGTCTCTTAAAGTCTTCCGCGCGGTTTACGGAGTTTCCCGCAACGATCTTGGCTTTAATTTGTGTCATGTTCACGCCACAAATGCATAGCTGCAAGGAATCAGGGGTTGCGTGAACTTGAAAACCAGAACTGCTTGCAGATCATCAGTGTTAAAGTTTAACTCGTGTCTGGAATAAGTTATTGCCGGAATATCGGATTCATTCTATCCTTTTCTCAAAAAAAATTGTTAAAATGTCTTTGATCTGCCAGGTCTTCTTTTTGACTTGGTAAAGGATAGAACGGACCCAGTTTCAGATTCTGGGCCACTCTGAACCAAGGAGAGAGGAGACAACAGGGGCCACGCCTTAAAATGGAGCCTTTTTCAATAATGAGAGAAAGACAGTTTTTGTCTTTCTATTTCTCTTCCTTCAAAGATCGCGTTGAAAAGCCTGTGAAAAGGTAGGCTCGCCGCTCAGTAAGGCCATAAAGGATTACATGAAGAAAGAAAAGCCCCCCCCCGCCACCCTTGCTCTGATCAGTAGTTTTCAGGTTGGGACTAGACCCTATTCCTGCTGAGTCACAGGGATCATATACCCTAAAGCTGCCTCGGTTACTTCTCAGACAAAACTTTGTCAAAAACAAAGATTGGGCTCGATAGATGGCCCTATTGTATAAAACCAGATCACCTGTCGGGCTAACAATTATAGGACAAGCCGAACTTTATTGAAATTCAAGAAATTAGGGCTACGACATTTGAATATTATTCGTCACTTATGTGGTAACGAGATCGCAATTCACTGACGAGGAGCTAATCTTACAATGGGAGTAAACATGACTTCTTCCCTTAAAAACGTCAAGAAAGTATTCGTCCGGGATCCTGAATATTGGGGCGGGGTCGACATGCCAGCTGGCCCGTTGGATTCCGACGAGAGCTCGTAGCAGTGGAGTGCGTGTTTCCAGGTCACTAAATGGGGCCGTACGTTCTTGTTGGATGTTATACTTGCTTTGTTGTGCTACCTACTGTTCATCCTGTCAAGTTATAATTTCGGTCTATGTCGATTCCCTCCAAAATCACACAAGGTCGCATTGCGCACGTCACCGAGGCGAAACAATAGCAGGTGTTTGGTCGTATGCTTCGCTGATTACTGATCAATACCGGCCTCCTCCGTTTCCCTCATGACATAATTGACATCGAGAGTTTTGCCAATGCTGATTTCTTATATTTTCCCCCGGGGAAATCCTTAGGGTAAATAATACAATTGTGTATTGTTTGAATACAAACGATGATGCCTGAAGGTCCGTGTATGCCGTAATTTTCATAATGTCACTTCTAGATTTATTTGTTCTTCTGAACTTATAAATACAGCTGCCCTTCGGTGAATAATTAATACGTTTGTTTCACTGAGAGCTGAGTAAAAACTGTCCGACAGCGGCCTTTCTGCCAGATAAGAGATTACGTCAAAATTGGTCAAAAGTATCAACGATTTGCCAACTCAATAAGTACAGTTAGCTGCCCAACAGGCGAAATCAATTGTTTGCGACACAAAGAATCCAAGATGGTAAGTTCTCCCTCTCTAGAGCAGTGGAGAGTATCCTAACATTTTATTTGAATTTAAGCATCAGTTCAGGTCTTCTTCTTCAATCCAAAATTCGGCTACTTTTAATCATCCCCGATCAAGGAATGATTATCCAGATACTTTTGTCAATATCTAATTTGAGTTTAAAAAGTCAAATTCCATACTGCTCAACAAGTGAGTTTTCCTGCCTGACACGGCTGAGATACGGTGTTCATAGTTGTCCTACTCAAAATCGGTCAATATTTTTACATGACATTAGTAAATCCCAGGCACGTAAAAGGAATACTTTTGATTTTTCGCGTTAGATTATCGGCAGCCTAGAGCCATTACATGAACGGAGGCAGTGTGCACATTTGATATTCACCAACTACCAATATAAGCCTTGATCACGTGATCAGACGTGTTTGAGGCTCTTCTCAAAGACAGTATTTCCTTTGTCTTGTATAGGCGACGCTACTAAGCCTCCTCGTTACCTTACTGATCGTCTATGGCACCGTGGCTAACCCGATCGGTAGCAGCCAGGTTTGCCCGTCTTCCCCCCTCACACTTTTCGGTCAAGACACCAGCACCCTCCCTCAGGCTGCGCACCAGGCCCCAGAAACCAACCAGACGTGCCCGTCGGGCGACCGAGTACAGAGCCACTGGCCGACGAGCCGCTCCGCCACGTGCCCCTGGCGCTACGAGACGGACTACGACGCCGATCGGTTCCCGTCAACCTTGACTCAGGCCGTGTGCAGCTGTGCACAGGAAGGGTGCTTGAATCCCTACACGAACGAGCCCGAGCCCGACTTGGAGTGCACCCCTGTAATGTACAGCGTGCCGGTGATGCGTCGTCGGGACTGCGTAGACGGCGTTGCTGACGTGTACCAAGATGTCGAGAGCGTCACTGTAGCGTGTGTCTGCTTGCGTCCCGTGTCACACGCCATACGTGCTCCAGGTATAATTGGATTAACAGATTGAAAATGTCAGCTACTGAGTTCAGAATATAATGAAATAGTTTTACATGTAGATTAATACCTCATGTGCATTTATTTATCTGTTTATTTATAATTGTTCCAAAATCATTTGGGCTGAAAATGGTTATTGACTGATTTTCCTCCTTTTTAGATAATCGTGCAAATTAAATTTAATATTTCTTTTAAGTGTTTGAAACTTTTTCACCGTGCGATTTTTCTTACTGCATAAAACGAATGAAAAGCTTCAAAAAGTTTAAACTAGTCACTGAGTGGTGACAGAGATGATATGTAATTCACTTTGTGAAATTATGTCTTCCCAAAGGAAATGTGGTATATAACATGAATTCTTTCATGGTACTCTTAATGGTTCTTTTAAAAGCACTTTTCTTGATAATCCTATTTATTCAGTATCCAAAACGGGATGGATTGTGTAATACACGTTATTCACCCCAAGTAGTGCGTGGATGCGTTCAAAACATTGCAGCTATATTTCAACATATTTCACTATTACAAATCAGAGAATATATCAATATTCATCTTATACCTTTATTCGTTATTGGTTTGGTTAACCTCAGTGCAGCTTTATGTCACGTTCTTTCATATGTACTCAGAAATATTATATTACGGAATATTATTATAAAAGTATATATCATATGTTATATAATCATTAAATTATATATTTAATCACTAATATTTGCTTTCATCAACTATTATTTACTTAATTTATACCTCATGAGACTGGAGTTATACCAGTATTTTTGAAAGAACTAGTTTGTAGTATTTATTTATTTATTAGCAATAAAGAATTTCAGAAAGTATAACTTTCTTTTACTGTTATTTTGTACGTTTGGAGGTGCCAAAAGAAACCACTTTTTTGTGTGCTTAGCACTTACAAATGTTGCCATGTGTAAGTCTTTGTGGACTACAGAGATCATTATGTCTAAACCGGGGATGCACCAGAACTGCGGTACTAGCGAACATTGACGCGCGCGTGCGTTTGGCAAGTCCCATCACCCTATTGGTCGAAGAGCCATGAAAACGCGCATATAGTACCACCGCAGTGTATAGTACTGAAGTGAATACGTCACGCGCACAATTAGTGTGTAAAAGGCATTAGCGTGAGAACCAGCGCGTGAACCAACACGCGCGCGTACTCCATTCGTTTGCACTGCACCTTATGGTTCACAGTTACGTCACGCTTTGGTGCTCTATAATGGCATCTGTCTGCGCTCGCCGAATTCGGCCCCATATATTAGGGGTAATAATTTGAAAGGCGCATTTGGCAGTTTGGGCTAGTAATTGAGTTCATAAGCCGAGTTTGATTTTCTGGTTGTCTGGGTTCAAAAGAGGAAATATACAACCACTTCCACATTGAGTTTGTCGGTGGTACGGACTGATCAAGGCTAGCTCGCTCTAAACTCCAGGTACTTACTTAAGGTTGAGTGACATCCATTGACGTCACACTGACGTCAGGGGAGAACAGAAACAATATCTGACACCGAGATAGGTGTAACCTTTTATCTAGGTTGCTTGAATGGTAATGTGATATTCCAGTAGGGAAAAAATCGGAAAAACCAATTTCTTTTTAATGCTTAAAACCTAACTATTTCTATCCATTGTCATTTGCCAGTCTTCTTTCTTTAGTTTTGCAAGAACAGCAACCTCGAAACCTGGAGGCAATCTGCTAAACCGAGGAGTAGAAGTCAGGACACCACATGGCGGTAAAGATATTTTACCCCGTCTTGGTTCGAAAGTGAGGTGATCCCAGTGAAAATGTTCAAAACGTTTACATTGTGTGGAAGCGCAGATGATGCAATGGAGGGTAGATCATAGATTATCGGGTTTGTACCCCGATGGGCAGTTATAAAGTATGTAAAGGGCCACAGCATGACAACCAATTTCCAAAGCGAGGCGAAACCTGTGACCGTACCAAAATAGCCTGGCACCTTCCCATTCAAGAGTGTTCAATAAATAAGATAGATTCAGGGAGCATGATTTGAGGTGACTGAGGCGTATAAAGCCTACAGCTGACTCCATTCAGTTGCAAGCGCCTTAGACAATTGCTTTCATCGCTAATATCGAGTTAAAATTGCTAGACCCTACCAACAAACGACCGTTTAGCGTTGCTGTTGAGACGGAAACATTAGCTCGCCAAGAGGGAAATGTCTTGAACGAGGCACTATGAGCCACCCTCCCCCCATCAAGTTTCATTGATCATGTGAGATTTCAGACGTCATCAATATAGATTAGCCTTTAAACAAGCTTGTTCAATGAAGAAAATGTGATACACATCTTCCGTTTTGTCCATCGCCATATCCCTTTTGTATTTAGGTATCTGAGAACACTGACTGGTACCACTTATGAAAATAAAGATACAACAGGTACATTCGGTATTTGGTCTGTCAGTAAAGTCAACACAGACGTAGTTTTGAGGGTAAAGTTCATTCCTAGCAGAAACGGAACAAATAACAACCAAACAAACAGAGTCAAAACAAACAAAACAACAAACTACGTTTACAAGATTACAAGGTATGACTGCACACATCACTTTGCCTGAGAGGACAGGCCACACACGATCGAGGACTGATATAAAAACCTCCATTATGCCAAAGTTTGCGGTTTGGGGTTCTGTGCTCAACATGACTACATTAGAAGGCCTACTGCTTTCTTTTGGTTTTTACTACACCCAAGCTATCTGTATCGGTTGGAAACACAATGTACACCATGCAACAATAATTCTTTCGAGCTTGCTTGACGCAAAATAGATTCTTTAAATAATGACGCCGTCGGGCTCGGGTCGGGGTAACCCTGGATGACACGCCGGCAATACAGATTGCTGTGTCACCACGGCTTACATCATTTTATTAACATGTAGCAAAGGGAACTCCCAACAGTCTCGAAAGCGAAGCATGATAAATGTCAACAGATGCAAGGCAAGTGTTATCTCCGTAATGGCCACTTGAAAATTAGTTACTGCAAAATATATAACCAGGTTCGCTCTTTCCACTCGGAAATTGTAATTTGTCAATGCATTTGCTTTAAATGCTATAATCGGTCCTGTTTCTAACTCAGACCGAGAGTTAACACTGAGGTCAGCCCTCTTTCCAAGATCTATTTTCCGAAATTCAGTCCGAGAAAGCAGGCTCAGGAATTAAAACCAGGATTCGGACAGTGATAGTACAGATGTCCCTGATACTAAAATGCAGTACAGTTTTCATTTGTACATGCCTTCTGGGAAAGGCGGTTGAGTTCATGTCATGTGCCATACTTAGAGACACGAGCCTGATATTGCTGAACCGAGAAAAAAGTGAATTATTTTGGTTTCTCAATTTTGTCACTTTTATTTCACTACTAACAATGAATGCTTTTGTTGTCTTGCCAACCGTGTGAGGTGAAATCTGGGTTCCGCGTGCCAGATAGAAAGATAACATCATTTACGTCATCAGGACGCAGCAACAATCCTATCGGCTATTCAAGTGTAAAAAGCAGAACATGACACGAATATTAAATATTAACAAATATCAACACCCAATGTATTCATTGTTAATAATAGCGACAACATAACTGATAAGTTTAAGCACGTGCCGGGAAAAGTCTGAGACGCCCATCTCCCGATAGCTAACAACAATATGGATAATTACCACTAACACATTCCGCCCCTTCCCCCAAAATGGTACACGTGCAGGCCTTTTCCTATAACAACATAACATGTCGAGGGTATTATTAAACAAAATACAAGATTTTATTTCTGGTGAATAGTCGTGTTTTACCTTCCCGAGGTCCTGGAAACTGACAAATTACCGATAGTTCCTGGGAACTAGTGTGTCAATTTTGTGGTACCTTTGGGGCTAAAAGTGAAAATCCATCCGAAAACAAATAATTGTATCTAAAGTGGCTTTCCTAAAACGAACTGTTGACCAAATCACTCTCTCATCAAAATATTTTTTTTTTGTTTTTAGAAAAATGAAGTCAGTAACTTTAAGCAAGCCCCCCCCTCCCAAAAAGGAATTGGCGGTTGAGATGAAAATACACTTCGGGATTTCAGCTGTTGAAATTAAATAAAATCCAGGAAACGTACCAAATCATGGACCATTAATTTCAGCAAGTGTTCCACAATCTGTCTAAATGAAGAAGAGGAAAAACCGTAGCGTAAGAGGTACACGTGTCGTTACAATTACGTATTAATTGTATTGACAAAAAAAGAACCTTTCAAGACCAACTTGTTTCTTTGGCAGAAAGACTTTCCTTTTTTGCCAGGGTCCTATTAAATTAGTACCTTGGGAATGACGTCACACTGACGTCAGCTTACTTCAAGAACAATACTGAACATGTGGAACTGTTTAGGTGTGGCTTACAAAAGGCGGACTTCCTGACTGGAACATCGAACATGGAAAAGTTGGAAGACTGGAAATTTCATAAATTTATTTCCTGCGATATTATATCCATTTTGTTCCTTGTTTCCTTCACAGAGGGAACTCGAGAAGTAAAACATTAACCCAAACAGTCCTGAATCTTCCAACGTACTCTCCAGGCGCTGGGGGAAACAGGTGTCCGATTGTGGCAGGGGATACATGTATATAATTCATTATGTGGCGATAGAAAAGCTGTGACCTTCTAGTGGTACTGATGTCGATGGAAGGCAGTGGTTCTTGACCACAGATACTTCTCATTGATACTAATACAATTGCTTGCCACAGCCAAGACATCAATGCATAGGACTGCATGCTTGCATAACCCGTTTCACCGTCAAGCGCGAGCCCTAATGAGGAATTCATCACCAATGTGAATGTTAGTTGCGTGAACTTTGACAGATAACAACAACCGAAAACTACTCCCCCCCCCCCAACCAGCCTTTGGGTCCTCTCTGGCAAAAAACGCACCGACAGAAAGAGGGAGTGGGTGGCTACGTTAAGACTTTGATACCTAATAAAGAAATGATAATATTTTATTTAACCCCCCCCCCCGAGTCCAGCCATTAAAGCGAGGACTTTCATCAGCAAAGAGGTTGAAATCTTCAGTTGTACATTGCCGATTGAGCAGTGTGACCTTCAGCAGGCATAGGTGCTCCTGCAGATCAGGTGCCAACACGGCTGTGGTGGCACCGTACCAGGTGACTTCTGGGCATTTTAACCCCCCCCCAAAAAAATTTCCTTATAACCTCCACGTGGGTGTGGTGGACAGCTGTTGTACACGTGCTTTGTAATTGAATGGCCTTTCCACACATAAGCATTCTGCTTCCTTCTTTTTATCTGGACGGCTTACATAAATTTTGTGAGTACCGAATATGAATGGCATCGATGTTCATTAGAATAAATTATAGCTAACGCATCCGCCTCGCCTCACTGGTGAACCTGCAGAGAGTGTTTCCAACTTGGAATCGGCTTCCATTACAATGAAAATCACGTGACAGTTCAAGACTGTGATCTAGAATCTTCAGCATCTCACATGAGATCAATTTTGCCGAGAGACACTTGACGTTCCCATTTACCTTTTTAATAACACAGAGCAAATTTCTCAACCAGTTCTTTTTTGGATGAGGTTTTCGAGAAGTGTTCAAAATCAGTGTTCCCACACTGTACTTTCTTGTTATTATATGGTGGGCGTATACATGAATATTTGTGATGGGGGTTGGCACAGCCATCTGTCATTGACACAGGCCCTGTTGACCAACACCTGGTAGTTACTTTTCGTGTTTCTCCCCTTTGCTCTTTTTAAAAGTACAAGTTATTCGTTTTTAGTTCAAAGTATCACAACTACTGGTGTATCAATGACGCGTTTTTCTCTTATTCTGGGGAAGGTGGAATTAACTTTTGTTTTTCAAGTATTGAAAAAATGCCCTAGATTTCTTTCTCTTATTAAGGCAGCTTCAAACGTGCAAATCACATGATTAAGGTACCATATTATAGCGATAAACTTATAATTCCTTGTTGAACATATACACGAGTAACACCATGTTAAGGATGACGTCAGATGACGTAAAATTGTTATTCAGCATAATTGCAGGAGGTGGCTATTTTACACGGGTCAAGTGGTTGGAGGTCCACCCAATGGTGGCCTTACAAAGGCTACGCCAGGTTTTATGGGGGAATCCCTCATTGGGTGGTCAGGCATTACTCACTTTGAAGTTTAGGGCTATGACGATAGAAGTTGTAGTTTTCAACGGAATGTTTCTATTTTCAGTCACAAGAGAGAAAAATAAGGCTTGTGGTGTAAGGAACGTCTTGGGACAGAAAAAAAATCGAGTCCAGTTTTGTCCATATCGTTCTCTACACCATTCAGAATTTTACGGTTGACAAAAACCATGGGGAAGAAATTATTATAGCCTTCTCTTATGCTTAAAAGTAGTTTAAAAGGGATAACTCTTCTTCCATCTCTTTTTTTCGCTTACGTTTGGATGTGAATCCCCAGTCGTTAATGACACACCGATCATTCACCTTTAAGGTTTCATTTAAATATATTGGTCTTCAAAAGTCTTACCATGTCATTACCACTGCAACTATGCAACTGTTTCTTTCACACCTTTGATGCAAATTAATATAATACTCGGTCAGTTTCCCAAGGTAACTTTGTTAGTCCTTTCAGTAACTCGAATTCAGGTAAAAGTGAATATTTGTTGTTCACGGAGCTTACACATTCAGTGTCCTGTGTTCGTGTCTCAGATGTCCACTGCCTGCTACTGTAATGTAGTAATGTAGTTCAAAAACAGTTACAAAGCTTTTCCTTTTTAATGGTTGTGTGTATGGGTGTAAAAGAAATTTACTGTTTTTAATGTTCATCTAATGTACATTAATATTTTGTGTGTTTTTAGCATATTTATTTAACTGGTTGTTATACTCTTACATTTTTTTTGAATTGTTGTTTTTATTGGATTTTACTGTAATTGCTAGGCATCTCTGGACATCAGTTTTTCACTGAGAGGTCTCCCCAGGGTAAATAAGAGATAAATAAAACAAATAAACAACCCTTTGACCTATGACTAGCAGAAAGAGAACACATTAAGTAACTTTTGTGAATGTTACAATGCTCTACACTGCACGATCTCGGACATTTTTCTTCAATTTTTTGAAGAGGTGCATTTTCACACAACCTGTGGCATAGTTTACTGGTAGTTTAATTATAAACAAAGAAAGAAATACCAGCAAACAAGATTTGACAGAAAGATCCGCATACCTTCAATTTATTGCATAGAACTCTGGGTATCAATAAGGAGACACTTGTTCGTAGTATCAGAGCCATAAGAGCCGTCGTCAAAAACAGTTCAACTGTACTGGAGTATGGGCTACAGCTCCTCATGTGAAGTGACAATTTGACAATGTTCATTTTTCTACGTCAATCTATGACTGTATGCTCAGCATAAACAATATTCTGGATTACTTTGCAATCGGCGTCAAATTTGTGCTTTAGAAATATTGCGTCTTTACAACTATCGATGTTGGCATTTGATTTAAATAAACCCGCGCAGCAGGTTTACACATGCCGTTTACGGTACAGAATAAACATAAGTCTGGGTACTCCTACATACCCTGCACTTCAGACTGCTTATTTTGTCCACCATACTTCTTTGGTAATCTGAGTAAATGAATACAATATATACGAAAGAACAATAATATATGAAATGAACCTAGAATGCATTTCAAATATAAAGATATTTCTAGCACAATTAAAATAAAAACTACTGTTTTTTTAAATAGATTTTTTATAAAATATTATGGTGCAATGATAAGTTTTAATTCATACAATTTTGATTCTTGACCACTTGATCAAATTATAAACTCACATCTGTTCCCGAAGGGAATGTTCATTTCAAAATGTTATTGTTTTTGTATAATTCTTGTACCAGTTCAAGATATTAGAATTGAAAGTTTAAATACCTTACAAAATAATATGCAAAATGACTAAAACACGTCACAAACTGTGGTGAACAGTGTTGCCAAGATTATACCCCTACCGTGTAAAAACTGCACATATAAATCATATCCATGCCACGCTCCAGATTCACGCACAAAATGTAAGTGTCAATTACTGTTAATTTGGCCAAAACGGAGAAGTACCCCATCTCCCGCCCCTCTATTATTAACAGCTCACGCTCAGCGATGTACGCAAACAATAAAGGCTTATAAATATCAGGTCAAATATTTAGAATATTATAATAAATATACTATGGCATTACATGTACATGCATCCCATATACTTTTCTATAAATAGCATAAATATAATTTAAGGACCAATCAACTGTTTTGCATGTCACAATAAATACCTCTGGAAAAATACTAGCAAAAACTTTCACAAGTCATTTCATTTTTGCGTTCCATATAACGGAACTACTTCACTGAATCAGCACATGCTGTTGGTTTTAAGTCGAAAATGAAGCACATTAAAATATGTGCTTGTAGGCAGGGGGAGTTGCCCGGAAGAGGCTTAAGCTCTTTCGAAGAGCGGGGGGGGGGCAAATTACTCATCATCTTCAAATTGATAAACCAACAACAGAGGATGGAGGGTCAATTCCCAGGTATTTTCGAGAAATGTGGAAATTTTCGCCACCTTTCCTTTCTTTTCAGTTTGTTTCATCACGTCTTCCTTCATTTTTTAAGGATGAGTAATCATTGCCCCCTGTTTTCCCTGCCAAGCCCATTCTCAGAGGGAGTAAACACACAGTATAACTTATATTACACTATAAACGTGGATAATACTCTGAAATCCGCACTTCTTCGTTCCTTCGTCTCCATTTTTTCTTAAGCTGCTGTTTTTCTTTTGCTGCAGAGATTTAATTTAAATAAATAATATAAATACAATAATTTAATTCAAGCTCACAGACAGTAATAGTTTTATAAATATCTAAATGTCTAAATATAAATTAGCCACGGATTCTTGACCGTATGAAACATATCATTACACATTGCAGGACCAGAAAGACTTCCAGAGCGACGAACTTAGCAATCTTATTTAAACGAGTCGAGAGCATGCACAACCCACGGTGATCTCCTCCTGAGACAGGGAGTACATCTCGAATCCGTTGATGGGACTTGTTGTGCTCTTGCGCAGAACCTGCATGGAGTACCTGATCGGCTGGCAGGTCAGGTCCGGGGATTGCTCACCAGTATACGGGTCCAAGCAACCGTCGCACAGGCAGCGGGCCTCCTGGATAGCTGCTGGGATGCGCTCCCGCTCGAAGTTGGTGATGTACTCGAAGGGGCAGGTGGAGCGCCTGGAGAGGGGATCGTTGACATCCACAGTGGCCGGGCAGGTTGCCTGAGGGGGGTTGGAGTCGTCCTGGTATGGCGGTTCCTGCATGGGGTGCAGGGCCAGCGTGTTGGTTGACGGGTATAGATATGCCATGGAAATGGGCGACATACAGGTCCCGCTCAAACCAGGGATGCTCTTGGCCTGCACCCGGCTGGCATGCAAGACGAGTGTCAGGAAAAGTCCAAAGAAGCACTTGATTACCTGTGCGTTGGGAAAACCAGGAACAAGAATGCAGATTATTACCCAAAATAAACTCTACCTCCCATAAATGAATTACCACGAACTATTAGCCTACTATGACGACAGAGGTTTTACTGCATGTGGAAACCTACCAGTTAATTTCCACCTTATTTCCAACCATCTAGTTTGACTAGAATCGATATCCTATCTCTCAAATTTCATGGAATTAGTTAAATTGACAAAAAGTCTTTCAAGCCTCGAGTAGGAAGCACAATTGATCGCTGATTTTTAATCCGCAAATAGTGCGCAGTTCCTGCAATTTTCAGACGTTTTAGCTGTATTATTTCTAAACTTTGTGCCATGCCATATCTAAAACGACCAAGGGAAATTCCCCTGAGACTCCCCTATAAAAGGCAATTTATTGGGCCCCTGGAAAAACCTTGGATAGCTTTTGTAACTAACACAGAACCACTTGTGCGTAAGGTTGGTACAACGGCCAGTTTGAATAATAACCGAAACATCACCCACCAGTGCACACACACATTCAATGGGGTGGTGTACCGCGTATTCATGCAGTTATTTATGTGCAATAATAACAAGACGGTGGACTGGTTCATTCAGTGGGTCACCTCAACTATGAGGTAACCACACAAGTAACCAAAAATAAATTTCCTAGTATTCTGTCGTCTGAAACTGCACGATACAATTCATGAAGTAGCAAGTGCCGTGAACTACCAAATGAAAATAGAAACGTGATGCTTTGTGGGTAAATTACCTCTTAATACTTCAGCTTTAGCAAATTCTTTTCAAAGCAAGATTTGGTTTCCAGGCCAGGTTTGTGCTTCTTGGAAAAACCCGAGTATTTTCAAATGGATTGTCATAAACATGAGAAGAACACGGACGTTCCGGCTTTCCTGACGCAAATTGAGGATAATTTAAGTAAATATATTGTTATTCTATAGAAAGTCATAACCCTAAGTTCACCGTGTGGGCGACAGCACCCAAGCAAGTAATTTCTACGAACAAAAAGTTGTATACGTGTACATAAGTTTGCCATTGTGGTGTTTTGATTTTGGGCGTTATGGTACACAATAAATTTGATAGCAGTGTGTTTGTGATAGGATTTTGCAAGTCATTCCGGGCATTTATGGCAAAGGGAATAGGTGGCTACTCGAAATTATTCATGTGACCTTGCACCCCCTTTACTTAACGCCGCATAGGCAATTTCTAAATATAAGACTTTCGTCAAAGTCTTATGGGCTTCAGAACGTGACTGTTAGAGGTACAGTTACGCAATCCGGGAATAACATCAGGTCCCCGATGATGGCATAGCACGGAGCAAAACTCGTCCATGTGAGACCGCGGGACTTGTCACCTTACACAGGCCAGCAGCTCACGATGAGGAAACGGAAATGCAAAAATTATCCCGCCACTTCCCTTTAGGAGCAAGCACGTGAGTGATTGACCCGAAACTCTTTTTTCAATAGTTTGAATATAATTCATCCCAACAGAACTTCAATGGTTTCAAGATACATATTTCGTAACCCACCTTGCAGGTTGTGCTTTTCAGAAATCGTCAATTAGATGCGCACCTTTTCCCGACAAAATCAGAAAAAATATATGGATACGGGTATTTCTTTTTAAAATGTGGAACTTCTACAAAATTTTCACCGAGTGATTCTCCGTGGACCGAGAGAGATTTTTGGCAGAGCTTATTGTTCGGGGCCACTTTGAATATTTCTCGAATTTCCTCACTGGATTCGAGTGGCCAGCATTTGCATTCCCAGTACATATAACGGCAAAAAAACTTCATTTGCAACTCGGCCATATTGGACTAAGTGAGGTTAATTTTTAATTTCGAAAAAGGAATTAAATAAAAATTCATTACAAATTAATGCAGGCTTACACTGAGAAAATTTATGAATGATTGTGTTTAAACGTTTTAAGTGACATGTTGGGACATCCCATTTAACAAATTACCCTAAATGAGATGTACTTCAGGGAACACGATTGGAAACTGCTTCCTTGTAAATGTCATCTACTCTCCCATATTTTCTATCTACCTGAGGGTTCCTGCATTATCCTGTAAATTCGGGTCTTGGTGTTAGTATAATGTGTCAGTTTTATATTGTAAAATGGGGGGGGGTCATTTTGTTGTCATCAACACCAATTTCAGAATTTGCACCTCACCTCTACTTCAGACATATGGCCTAAATTTTCAACAATACTTTCAGACCTTTTTTAAGTCTTCATGCAATGCAGTAAGCTGGAGTTGATGCTCAGTTTTACCAAAAAAGGCATTTTGATGCAACTGTATTTCTGCATAACAAAATAATATAACTTAGGCCTATCTTTACCTTTGAGTAATCGATTGCTTGTTCAAATGCTATTTATATAACCCCATAGAAGGCGTTATCTTTTAGATGTATTACATTTGTTATGCAGCTCTTTTTTTTTTACGAAGGTACATTTTACAACTGGCAAGAAGATTTTTAACACCGCTCTATTGCTATCAGTTTCTTTGCATTTATGACCCACCCAAGTTTGTGACAAACAGCCATCAATAGCTGTTCAGCTGAACGGAGTTTCCAAACACACCCGACGGTGCTGTTTGTTGTGATCAAGGTATGGATCTTTGATCTTTGACCGTGTCTGACAAATGGCTGCCGTGTGCACAGCGACAAGAGGTGCCCAACTAAACAAACTGCGTCATGCTCTTCAATGCATGCAGACCAAATCTCTTGGCCTGGGATATGCACCTGTTAACAGCTGGCATGCCGTTGACTGTAACACTATGAAAAAATCAAGGATCTCACCTCCCGAATCTCACAACCTAACACAAAGTATTTTAAACAATCAACAAGTTCTTATAACTGGGTGCGTGAAGCAAATTTTCGATAGTGTTCATACTGTCAACAAGGTAAAGTGAAATAAGTGAGATCAAATCAAATTTCAGAAGGACTAAAATTATTCTGAAGGATGGCAGGCATGTGTCATGTGCATAGTACTCACCTGTGTATCCATCAGGAGTTTCGCAGCTGATCGGTGAAAGGGTTGGTGGTGTGAGTTACGAATGTTGAAACTGGAACTCCAAAAGCTTCAGACTTCAAAAGCTCTGAATCAACTGAGCAACTGGCTTCGAGTTTAAACTGACAATGTTCCATGGTGGAATCTTTAAGGGCTTATATACACCTCAAAACAAAAGTCCCACAGAGATATTTAAAAATAAGTTCCAAAGTAATGTTTGAGCAATTCATACTGGCTGTGCTTCCGTGTGAATTATGATAATTAACTTGTTCAGTAATTTTCCAGCGTTGAGAGTACAGGCCCGTTCGTGTACGGAGATCCGCTTCAATGACTTCATAGACAGCGCCACCATAGCCTGGGCTCCCGGGTACACCCGTGACGGGCGTTTTCTCTCGGGAACCAGCGCCGGGTACCAGGTGCGCGCCTCAAAATCCGGTTTCTGTTTTGCTTGGACGTAGTTAAACGTCACTGGTTTTTTTTTCAATCGCCCTAAACATGCACACTTCCGCTGGCAGTCGTGATATCGCCTATCGTAGATTTTGGACCGCTGAAGACAGCGTGTAAACTTTCTGTTTTGCTGAATTATGCGTAGCCAGTTCGGTAATGAGATCGGAATCTGGTGTGAATCACTCTGGGGAATCCCAGATTTTGGGGAGTTGCTCCAACTGCAGGAAAAAAGGCAAAATAGAAAAATGACTCAGAATTCCTTGGCAATATTTGCTGTTGTTACTGTTGCTATGTAGTTCCCTTTAACTTTTAAATATCATGAAACATTTTCGTTCAAATCAATTTTCCCTCTTTTTAAAAATAAACTACTTCTTTAGTGGAACGCAAACATTTTGAAGGGGTTTCTAGACATTTGAAATCTTGAAATCTGGACAATTGTTTTACAAAAAACTGAGAAAAAAACTCAGAAATTTGTAAAGGTAATGGCATACGCCAATAACATCTTCTAGTTGAGCGGTGGGCTCTTCCAAATTACATTATGAATACTAAAAATAATCAAAATAGATCATCGATCCTCACATCCCAGTCGCTTTAGCGGAAAAAAATTACCCGAGTTGGGATACGAAACTTAATTATGTAAACAACACCCCTCCCATTGAATCTACCCCACCCCCAATCCCACCCCCGGCAATCAACTGACAATGTCAACACCAGTTTATAAAGAGACGTGGTCTCCAACTGTATCACATTTCTTGAAGTAAATTAGAGTGGGGTTAAGTACATGCAGCTATATAGTTAGAGATATCGCTCTCAGTCAACACTATAACACGGTCGATCCCGTGATTACGGTTATTGCACTGCAATAATCGCTGCTGATCCTGGGTCACAAAGTTTTATATATCATTCTATTCTGCTCGACAAATTTGAAAGAAGAGAGGGGAGAAGTATCGAAATCTCTTTATTAGTTCATGGCAAGATTTCAGCCGACCCTCAGTGCCGAGAAATACTCTACAGACATAAGCAGCATGAGTGTTTGGGTGCGTTCCTGTTCACGTTGTCCTTTGGAGAATGACGTGCAAGGGTCATCGGAATGACCTTTCCATTCTGTTGTCGATGAAACCTCTTCCCCTACCCCTTGGCAACAAGCTTTTGCTCTTTCAATCTACATAGCCGATTGATGCCTTTTCCCAACGACACCCGCCCATCCTGAGTCCTGTATCTTCAATCGCGTGGGTGGGGACAACGCTGCGGTTCGAAGGGCATGACTATACTCTCCCCAGATTTTTTATTCTAAGTTTAAAGCAATAGACCAGAACAGTTTTAATGGCACGCCACGAAATCCTGCCTTTCGCCCTATAATTGGACAGTACTGAATATCCGCGTTTGTTTAAGGGGTTTCGATTTTATTCAATACAGGTTTGCATTCGCAAAATTTCTAACATTTCGGATGAGTTCCCTACAAATTCCCTGATCCTCAAAAAGTCCTGTTGCTTTTTTATATTCCGCGAAACTAACACAAGCTAAAATTAGAAGATGTGACAAATCTTTCTCCAGATTCCCTCATTGCCGCCGAGTGATTTCTTTTGTTTCTTTCTTTTTTAATTGAACTACTTGGAGAGTTGTTCAAAGGTTTCGGTGTGCAGTGGTGGTGCTCTATAAAAAAAATCGGCCGAGGCTGTTGCATGATGATTTTTTAAAGGTAAAGGTTTTCCTGGTCAATTTCCCCCCTCCCGAAAAAACTGTATAAAACACCATGCATTCCAATTCTTACTATGGTTTGATTTCGATCATATTCCCGGGTTTGACTCCTTTTTTGTTATTCCATCCATTTTTGTTTTTGAGAAAACAAGTGTACTTTTTGTACGCGTGTTTTCTTAAAGACACTAATCGTAAGCTCAGTTTTTACAGAATTTTACAAATTGGTGCAATCAAACGTCGATTCATCAAATCACAAAGGATCTCTGATGGTTTGTGTTTGGTGTTACTGTTCATTTCTTTTATATATACTCCAATATTTCAAACATGAAATGCTTTGTTTTGGGCTATTCGCGATTGTGCGTACAGTTACCTCTTACAAAGTACTCTTCACCTGGAGAACCCGAAAAAATTGTCTCCTTAATGTAATCAAATAATTAATTCAGACCAAGAGGAAAAGGCGATAGGGTGGCGGTTAATATGATGGTGTATTTTCTGCGAATTATTTATCCGTTGACTTTGACTTTGAAGATTTGTGGCAAATGAAACAGCCATTGATTCACATCCTGGCTAATACTGACGTCAATGGGGAAAACCCCTAACCGTTGCACGCGCGCTCTGGGGGTTGACAAGCTGCGTTTTAACAAAACCAGAGTTTGGAACTGGGAGTTGTTACAACGAACACCTTCACAAATTCACGTCAGTAGGACCAGAATGTTATCGTCATGGTTTCTGAATTCGATATGGCCGCAAAACTTATCCATTGTTTGCCTGAGATTTGTCATTAAGACGGATCTGTGAGGGATATCGAGTGTTTTTTTACCAAGAAATGTAAAGCGTCAGCAATCCCCAATTCAAGCAGAAGGACCGATTAATTTTGGTTTGTACAATCATCAGAAATACATTCCATGGGGCGACGTTTAGTGACATTAGATTAAGGAGTATCCGCGTTGTAAATCTAAGGGCCCCTATGCAAAGCAGTGCTGTGCACTGATCGGAGCTTACCCCCATTAAAGATGACATAATGGAGTAAATAAAAATAAAATAAAGTTCTCCTTCCCACCCTGAAAAAAATCTTTGGTGTTAAGGTATTTCCCTAAATGACTCCGATACATCATTGAAAAGTATTAAAGTCGTGTTGAGACGTTTGGGTCCATTTTGTGCGGGTTATTCTTGGAAAATAGGGTTCACTGTTAGAAATGGGCGGGTCCAGACTTAGGTTATTGAAGGGGGAAGAGGCTTAGACGTATGTCGTACTAAGTTTAACTCGGAATAGACGGGAGCAGGTTAGGTTGACATACCGCATCAAATACCTTAAATAATTAATAATGGCACCTCTGGAAAGTTAAGATAGTAATGTGAACGTATGATACTCACTTTTTAAACCGGTTGAATTATCTAAAATGCTGTGCAAGAAATCAAACTTGAGGCAATTTGAAAGATTTGGTAATATAAAGACAAAACCTGAAAAGCATTCGCTGCAACAACGTAACGGAAAACGTCCCTCGGTAAAGCACACCTGAATAAAATTACACTACCAAAACGGAAACAACATACTGGCCTTTTAATCGTAAACTTGTTTGACTCGACTGAAAAGAAAATCAGGACAAAATTACCCCTGACAAGTGGAGATTAGTTCAAATCCCCGTATTAGTGTCAAATATACAATGAAAACCTACACGATGATGCAATGACACAAGATTCTTCAAGAGGTTAAACATAAAGAAAATTGGAATTCCCCAACTCGAGGGGACCTTTCCCGATACCACCGTTTCTATAAAATGTCAGTCCACGTGGTATAGCCAACCAGTCTATCTGAAACCGGGAAACCAGCCTTGTTTTTTCGAGCGGGAAATCGATAACTGAGTCTCTATTGACTAGCAGTGTAAAGCCCTACCTGTCCACACACGACGTAGCAAAACTCGGAAGAGCTTTGCGTAAATGACGTTTCAGTTTTTGTGCCTTTCACAAATTAAAAGGCCGCACATCACGAGGAAATCATTGGGTCAACACGCTGGTTTCTCGGTGGTTTTCTAAAGTTTTTCACGTTGCAGGCACGTGACGATAGTGAGAATAGACCAACAGAATCATACAGTGAGACTGAGTGACGTAGTGAGGGGGAGTCGTACCCCCAGATCGTTCCGGGAAAACTGGGGACTTGTAGGGACCTGCACGCGGAAAAGAAAAAAACGAAGAAAGTTGAGAGACTTTGGATACAATATACATGAAACCCAATTAAACTAGCCCACATCGTTTGTTCCCAGAGGGGGGGGCACCGATGCCTTCAAATCTCAGGACAGATTTCGTAAAAAAAATCGAAGGGGCGTTGATCGAGCCAGAAAGAAACAGCGAGATAGAAGCATGAAAAGACCATGGGAGTAAATCCTGGGGAAGGGGGAATATATTCCCGTACTGGAGGGGAGGCCAAAGGATATATTCCCCGTTTTATATGTGTGGCAAAGCAAACAATACATAATTAAAATACTCATTGCTATTCTCATGCAATCAATTAAGAGATCCCGTCCAGATTCAAGCAAGTATGTGTAATCTGATCGTAAATCTGCCATCAAAAAAGTAATCTTCTTATTCTGCCTACTTGGCACTGCCAGGAAGGAGGGGGAAAGATATCGAACAATGTATGTCGATCTTGAATGCATTTAGCTACTGGGCTCATTTGAAAGAACAGAAATAATTTGAAGAAATAAACTGCGAGCAAGCTCAAAGGATCACGCATGGCAAGGCAGGTAGCCTAAGCTGTGTTGAGTTGGTAAAGTCTCGTGGGAGAGGTTACATAGGTTGAAATTGGTCGTCATCCAACTTAGCTTATCATAGTTCTATGGCAAAGGCATCGGCTTAATGGCGCTTAAATTGATTAATTTGAATAATTCCGAGTGTTCATCTGAACGATACGTGGTCATTTTGTGCGGATAGTCAAGTTTAAAGTCAAAATACCTGCTTGAAAGTTGACATAGCAGCAATCTCATTGTATCAACTTATGTACACCGTCAGGGGGGGGGGGTAACGTAGAAGGATGGAATCGAATTAAACGAATAAAAACATGTGAACTATACTTTTGGCGACAAAAGCAAAACCAAAGACGATAATCTTATCTCCCGAAAACGGCGATTACAGATGACATCATGCACCGTTGGCAAATAATATAATTTCACATGCGCATGACACAATTGGGAAGGAACTGAGAGTGATCACAGAAGTCTTCCTCCGTGTTGTGCAACGATTAGCGGGCAAATTTTGGACGACAATTTGACAATAATTAGCTTTCTATCCATGGTCGGATTATCTAATAAGGCACTGTGCCTGGGCCAACGAACAGTTCGGGAACTGAAACGAAAATGCTGCTGTAAGGCTTACGAGAATACTATTACAGGTGTGCCACGAAACGCAAATACCAACATACGCACCGGCGTACGGAAAAGTTCATAGCTTATAACTCCGGCTTAGCATTTCAATTAGGGATAACCAGCAGCGTGGCTAGACCGATTTAAAGGGGGGGGGGCTTGCCATCATGAAATTTGTCGACGGACCGACGGCAGATGTCATGAGTGTAATGGTAGACTGGTTCCCTGACCCGACACGTTACCCTCCCCCCTTTCTTTTCCCATTTTTTGCCAACAGACGCATGAGTTTGACGACAAAACAGACTACGGTAATAGGGCTGTGAACCCCCCCCACACACCTCCCTACAGCGACGCCTACGATTGGGGCCTACGGAACACCATCTGCCTGTGAGGCCAATTAAACACTTAACCCGGCCTCGTTTTTCTCTGAATATGCCCCAATTACTGTTGGGTTTGTATCGCGGCGGTTTTCATTCTCAATGTTTATCCACATCAGTGGATTTAGGTTGGATGACTTTGCAGAATCCCAAACTGTGCATTTTCATTCAGGGTATAATTTCCCCTTTCATGTCCATCGCCAGGGAGTGTGTTGAATGAAAACACTGAATATTTCCACAGGAAACCGTCAGCGGCTCGTGATGGAAAAGGCCAAACATTACATCAATATCACAACAAAATGGCTCGTGTATCTCCACAAATTACCCCACGGAGCTCGTTTGTATGACAAAGTGTTGTGAAATAACCATTCACAAAAAAATGGGAGAAAGGAACTGGCTTTACGCTCATTGGTTAAAGGCCGGTTCACATACATCAGGCAAACAAGAAGGGAATAAGCGAATTTGAAGTCCCAAATCATTCGTTCAGTTATCAAATATGTTCAACTTTTAATTTGTGCATTCACAGGGCAAATATCATCGTAAAAATCTCGTTCGTAATTAGGTATGTTCTGGCCTTGATGTGAATTGATATGGGTTTTCATTGTCAATATTTTCGATTTAAAATGTCTGCGGATAGTAAGGGAAAATATTTCAAATTGACGCCATAAGATTTCGTTTCATTTGCAAATTCAGGATGGCTACATTCTGTAACTCCATTTCTTAGCAATTCCGTCTCGTGTGACCAGTCACGGTCATTTTAAAAAAGCAACCTGGTCTTCTGCCCTTTATTTTGTAGTGATTTCATATTTTCTTCTCATCTTTTGTTCAGAACAAGATAGTGTAACCAAAAATCTAAAGAAAAAGACAAAAAAAATCATTCCCGAGAAGAAACATATTATTATAATATAAAAAACGGTGCTTCAGTTTTCTTGTGAAGAATACATGTAGCGTTGTTTCTTTCAAGTAGCTATTGAAATTATGACCGTGTACTAAACCAAGATTTATTAAGCAAGAGCAATTTATTTACTTGAACAAAAATCCCAACAAGCAGGCAATCGTAAGTCTATGTTTTTTTACTTGCCAGCTCGTCTAGGTCACTTTCAGGGTACGCAATAGAAGACTGGAAATTCTCAATTTTTTTTCTCGTAGGCTTGCTTCAAATTGATAAACATGTAACCCACACGGTGCCGCCATCGAAGTTGGAAACCTGTTATTTAACTGTGCTGGGCCCCAAAGTGGTCACATTTTAAAAGCTCGCTGTATGCAAAAATACCAAAAACTATAGGTCTAATGTAGAGGGGGGGGTGCAGCGATCTTGGATGAAAAAGGAGGCAAGGTGTGATAGAGGGCGCTAACACAAATGAACGGTCGCCTTTGAATTCGGAGATGGGGAAATTATTTTCTGTGCCGAGTGGCGTGAATGGAGAGTTTTTGTGAAAGGATTTCGATTTATTTATCATCCTTTAAAGGAGCATCCCCTCCCACGAGAGGTGCTGTGGAAAGGTTTGCCTTTCAATTACTACAAGAAAAATGAATCTAAAGACTTTTTCCCGTTGGGATTGATTTTTTCTTAATCAAGGGATTGAGCTGCGGAAGTTGCTCTTGAATAAGTTGACGGTTTCTCTTCAGTAAGTCAAGACACCACAGATGACGTAACCAACACAATTTTATCAGGGGATACTTTTTGTCACAGAGAAATGTCACCAAGGCACATTCCTAACTCTCCAGATTGGCCGTCAAATCTTAAGGCCGATTCATACTACAGGCAAATGTTTTTAAAAGGGAAGCGAATTTGACGTCACGAAAAATTTGAAGCAAATTTTCTCTCGAGTTGAATATGTTCAACTTTTCGGAATTCACAGAGCCAGTATCTGATTTGATCTCGCAAAGTCTCGTTCGTTTTCGCTTTAGTCGCGTGAAGTCCGAAGTATGTGCTGGATAGTGATACTGTAGTCACTTTTGACGTCACGGTCGTGCTCTTCCTACAAGAAGCTGCTAAAACTATGGCTGGCCGTGAGTAAAAGAACAATTCTCAGCTATCATGAAGATCAAGTTCCCGGATGTGGCCGTCCCTGCTGTGGACGAGTTTGTCATGGAACACTTTGAGAGCTATGAGGACCGCGTTGCCATGGTAGCGTATTCCTTAATTTGCAAAGAAATACTTTGGGGATATAATTCTAGGAGTACAGTAGGGTCACAAACTGTAAAGGCAGCGGGATTAAACCACCCTGATGACGTCATACTAATGAGAAGAGTTTCGAGTATTCTCAGGAATTTACAGTAAACCGCATATTCTTTTAAAAAGCTAACAGGTCGAAATTGACTGGATAGACACAGAAATCACAGTTTTATTGAATTTTTACAACGTCAAAGGCTCATAACAGTTAAGAACACCGTTTTTGCGTTCTATACGTATTAATGTCTTCTCCAACTTTTTGATTTGCCGCGCTGTGGTCGGTGGTGAATACAGACTTCCACTAAAGTTTTTTTATTTCACGTATATTTTAATTAATATGTCTATTCAGTTTTATGCATACTCTACCCATTTTATTTCTATTTTATCATTTTTGTCACCTTTACATATGTATATGTTAATTGCAACGTATAATTTTGGGTTTTTGTCTGTGTTTTTTTCATTTTTAAACTTCGCATTTAGCCGATTTACTTTCAATTTAACTTCAATCTAACTCTTTCGCTTTTATTAAAGAAAACTATTAAAAAATAACTATAACGATGACAATTCATGTATAACTTTACAGAACACACTCTAAAAATTCCCGGGTCATATTGACCCAAAATTGGATTCCATTTAGCGTGACCCTTTTCCTGGTCAAATTATGACCCAGAAAGGGTCAAATATTTTCCGGCTCAAATTATGACCCAGAAAGGGTCAAATGCGACCTGAAAGGGGGTCATTTTTTGACCCAGAAAAGGGCATGCCCAATTCTGGGTCAATCTGACCCGGGAGTTTTTAGAGTGCAGATTAATCGTTCAGAAACTTACCTATCAGTACTTCCCAGATGTACATGTATATTACTCCAAGTCCAACCGGATGTATTTTGCCAAACGAAATCATTTCCAATGGTGACTGCATGAGGGATTCCGATGTGTACTCCAAGGTTGTAAAAGTGGTCTTCATATGAAGAGACAGTTGACTTTATTTTCCGAATTAGCCGCTCATCACATTTGCTTGGTGTTGGAGGTGTAAAAATCCCCACCTCTGCACTGAAAATTATACCAATAGCATTGGAAACGTTTAATCCAGCATCTTTCCTCAGCTAACCGGTATAAATCTATTTCGGCTTGCAGGGTAATGAAGACAGGCTGTGCCTCCTTTACCTACGATCAGTGGCAATGCCAAATGTGTGTGACTTTGTATGCGTGCACCGTGCTTATAAATGAAAACACAAATGTGCACTCAGCCAAATTAGAGTTACGCACTCCACGGTTTAGGCAAAGAATTTAAGCTTTTATACGCAGAGGTACAGCTAACCAACACTGGACAATGGATCGAATTCATCTCCCAGCTAAACGCATCATGGACAATAGTTGAGGGAGGGGCGTAGTGTCAAGAAACGACTCACGAGGTGGAAATTCTTTAAATGAATGAATGAAAAACGGACGACCGGGATTACAAATAATCTTTGTACAGTGCTCTGTGTAAAAACCGTGTGGCGGCGCGCAAAAGTGCTGCGTTACATGTCGTCGCTGTGGTAAAATGTACATCGGAGAGACCAAGCGTCGCCCTAGTGACCGCTTCGCAGAACACTTGGGCAGTGTGCGCCAACAAACACCTGGTCTCACTGTTGCGCATCACTTTTGCGCGCCGCCACATTCCCTCGGTGAGGTAAGCGTCTGCATCCTGCGGAAAGCGTCATCTGATGTACAGCGTAAGGAACTGGAGCAGCGGCGTCATTTTCGAACTTGGAACGCTGCATCCAGGGGGAATGAACGTGGATTTTTCCGCGTTCATTCAGAACTGAATCTGCTTGCCCTGAAGAAGGCACTCAGTTACCGAAAGCTCGGCAATCATATATTTCAGAGCACTGATTTAACCTTATATTCTGGTCAAGAGTTTGGACTAGGCCAGGGACTCGTCGAGGCGCGCAGCTTTAAAGCACATAGATAAACCATCGGTGCGTTCGATTAGCTTCCCGGANGTACACCAGTGTTTACCGGCAAGGCGAGCCTCAAAATGAGGCGAATCGAACGCTGCAGTGTATTCACCAAGGCATTCTGGGAAAAAGCTCAAGTCCCCGCCACGTTCCATCATGTCCATGCTCCATCCGTGACATCTTACACTCGGGCAGCCTCCAGGGACCCGCTCGCCAGCTGGCGTAGTGGTGGCTGACACCAGGGCAGGCACGGAGATCACATGATGGCTAAACGAACGCTCTCGTGTGAGTTTAGCTTACACGTGTAAGCTGATCGAACGCACCCATGCATGATGTTGGCCCAGCTGCCTACATCGATGATTTTCACTGCATGCAGCTGCTTTGTACCATCCACAGGCCTAGTTGACGCAGTACGTTGACGAGGGTGGTAGTACACTTACTTAGTTCAGTGCGTCACGTGGAACCGTAAGGATGCAGATGTAGTTGCATATCCCGGATCCACCTGCTACACCAACGAATGAGTAGGTAATGTATTTCACCCTGGGGCGTTGCGGCAAAAAAACATTCCTCCATGCATACCCCAGGTCGCAGAGTTCTGGGGATACTGGGGCCACAGGAGAGACGTACCTCATTATGCGCTTACATGAACTTTTGCAACTATACACACATAACGTGTCTGGTTGGCGAGCATAATGTGACCCCACCTGCTCCTGCGCGTACATACATGTACATTCGTATCATGCACGGTGTACGTGCACGTGGTGGAATCTAGTCACAGCTGCCGCCAACTTGGTGCATTGCTGATACTGTATACTAGCGGGTTTCGCGCGGCACCGGCTAGATCATAGAATATATAGAATATCGGTTTTTTATGAGGACAGTAACGATGTAAGTTTAGTACTCATGCATTGAAGAATTACAGTGTTAATCCTGTAACAGAAAACTAAAAATCCCAGTGAAATTAGGAACTAAATGTAATACCAAAAACCGTCGATGTAATGGGATTTTGCGAAGGAACAAATGAAGAAATTCAGAAAACCGGAGAGAAAATGGTCATCGAAGTCATAGCCGTGTACATTTTTAATGGCCTGCTCACTTTTCTTGCTTCCAAGGCAATATGTGTGCATACGTGCTTAATTTGGGACTTATTAATGAAGAGGTTTTAAAGCGTGGACGGTGTATATTGAGCAAATTCTCGGGGCAGCAATACCACTAAAAGGGAAAAAAGAGAATAGGCGTGGTATTTACTAGATGGTGGTGAATTCACCCCGTATGGAGGGTGTGTTGGGGAGGTTGATGGCGTGTGAATGGTGGGAGGGGAATATTATGTTATAGAATGGGAGGGGGGGAATTTGATCTGCTCTATAAGTACAGTAACATGGTAGAAACAGAGAAAGAAATCGTGTCAGTGGCTATGCATGCCTTTCGGCCTCTGCAATGCCCCAGCCACATTCGAGAGGCTGATGGACATGGTAATGGCAGGCCTTCCGTCAGTGAAACATCCTGTTAATATACCTGGATGATGTCATCGTATTTGGCAAAACGGTCAAGGAGGAGATCGAGCGACTGAGAGTCGTTCTCTCCAGGTTGAGAGAGGCTGGACTGAAATTGAAGCCAAGTAAGTGCTTCTTGTTCCAGAAGCAGGTTAATTACTTGGGACCGTCGTCAAAGGGTGTAGCTACGGACCCTGAAAAGGTGCGCGCCGTGGCTGAGTGGCCGACACCTAAGTGTGTGAAGGAAGTGCGAAGCTTTGTTAGCCTCTCTTCCTACTATAGGCGGTTTATCCGTGGGTTTGCTGAGGTGGCCTCACTGTTGCATGCCTTGACTGCAAAGGCCAGAGAATTCGTCTGGACGGAGGCTCGCCAAGAAGCATTTCAGGAGCTTAAACATAAATTGCAGACAGCACCTGTTTTGGCTAACCCTGTACCAGACAGTGACTACATCCTAGATACGGATGCTAGTAGACTTTGAATAGGGGCAGTTTTGTCCCAGGTCCATGGAGGCGAAGAGAAAGTTATCGCCTATGCCAGCCACAAACTGAGTAGAGCTGAAAAGAACTACTGCGTTACGCGGTGGGAGCTGTTGGCGGAGGTGGTCTACTTGAAACAGTTCAGGCAGTACCTGAAGGTTGTCCTTCACAATGATCATGCTGCCCTCCGGTGGTTGCTTGATTTTAAAAGCCCTGAGGGCCAGCTTGCTAGATGTCTTGAAGTCATCAGTGAGTATGATTTGACCATTCAACACCGACCTGGACGAAAGCATGGGAATGCCAATGGGCTGTCCAGGAAGATCTGTAAGCAGTGTGGTCGGAATGATGAGGAGGAAGTGGAGGCACCTCAGGTACCTGAGGGTGTTGGGAGCACTAAACCTCCTGGTATTGCTGTGGGTCAGGGAGAGGTTGCTAATCCTAGGGTCCCAAAGGCTGAAGTGAGCGGTATCTCTGCCGAACCATGCATGCCTAAGGATGCTGTCAGGCAAGCACAGCTGGAAGATCCCAGCACGAGTTGGGTTGTTAAATCTAGAGAAGAGGTGGGCAGTAGAACTCTTTGGGAAGCTGTTTCATGCACCTAGGCTGCCCACAAGACGCTATGGTCCCTCTGGGACCAGTTGCACGTGCGCGATGGGGTGCTGTGCAGAAGCTTGAAGTCCTATGATGGGAAGTCAGTCAGATGGCGCCTGGTACTTCCAGGGAAGCTTCGAGAAGAGGTCCTTTGTGAAGTTCATAGTGGTCGGACGAGCTAGCGGTCACTTGGGTGTTACAAATTAAAGTCATTGAAAGTTTTGCCAATAAATCTGCGAATGACCAATCACCTGTTCTTTGTGATTTGTAGTTGTGGAGGTTTCAAAAAGGAAGGTTTAGGTTTCATACTGGATCCATTGGTAGCACCAAGATGCAATTGTGCTGAGTGACCATCGCGTCCATCACTTACATGTGTATATTCAATTATTTGGAAAATTGTCGTATTTATCATTATTAGTATTTTTTCCTTTTAACAGTTTGTCCCTAACTGAAATTCCTGAGCAGTTAATCGCAATTACCGCACCCACCAACAAGATGGCAATCTTCAAAAGCAAGTTTCCTGACGTCAGCTTTCCCAACATGGCTGTTGATGAATTTATCATGGAGCCCTTTGATCACTTTGGAGACCAAGTTGCCATGGTATTAGAAATCTCTCTCCTCTAACGTAGCTATACGTTGAACCGCGATTAAAGTTTGAGCCAACGCGGGGTATAACATTTCACAAACACTTCTACAGGGGCGTAAAACGACAAAATTTGTCATTTTCGATTGAGTAATGGTCATGTTGCGAGCTTGTTAAGAGTTCAAAACACATTTTAAATCAGCTAGTTGGATTGTTCTTGGATATTTGTCGACTTCATGAAAGAAAAATTGCATTGAAAATGGTGCTGCTCGAAGCAGGGTCAACTAAGCCATTAGAACTCCGGAATCAGTGACCGGTTAAATTTCCAGCATTAAAATCAACCTCACACTTTAGCTTCATTTAAATTTCATGCCAATTTGTGCGCAACTTGCAAAGTTCTCAACCTCAAATCAGTCAGCTCAGAAGAGCTTGGTTGTCAGGTTGTCAAGATGCCTGCACCAGAAGAGAAAGTCATGTTTTTAAATCTAGTCCAAGATGTAAGATTCTTTCTCCAAGATTTTGCGAAAAGCACGTTTTTACATCT